ATTCAGATCCATATCCATATCCATAAGAAGTCATATGTATTGAAGCAAGTTGCTACACGTCAATAAAGCTGCTACTATATGATGGCTATCTGCTGTACACGTAAAAAAGCTGTGTGACACGCTGCTGCAAGTAAAGAACGCTGTTGGGTACGATGGAGTAAAGAGCTTGCTAATAGCAACTACTGCGTTGAATACTGTTACATTGGATTGTGTCAGGGAAGCGCGCAAGAGTATGCGTGGTGTTGAGAGACACGTGTGTTGTAGCAGAGTGACAAGAAGGCTGTGCACATGCCATCAACTTGCCATTCAGTCAAAGGCTTTCGGATCAAGAGAGTTGTAGGATTGACATGATGGGATAGAGCAGGACAATCGTTCGTATGCATTGGATTGGGCAACAAAGATGAATGGGAGGAATGGGCTATTAGCCGGCAGGTTTACAAATAACTTACCAATTTGATTCTTCTGATATTGGATGATATTTCTGTGTTTGAGCGTTTTTCAGTCAAATCTCATCAGATCAAGAAAGTTGAATGATGGGCATGCTGGACTGGAGCAGGACAATCGTTCGTATGCATTGGATTGGACAACAATGGAGAATGGGAGAACTAAGGATATTAGCTGGCATTTTGAACTATTCCTAAATAGTGTACAAGAATCATGCATCGCCTGTGCTGAATGACTCAAGTTACACAAACACGCCCTCTGCATCTTTTGCTCTATTATAGTCATACTACTTTACATTAAACAAAGACCACTCTTCATATAGCATCACGCTTACAAACATAAAGGTGCCTGTATCTCCAAACTTTACAATGAAACGTGGGGTTTTTATTAGAGCAATGTGCTCGGCTTGGCCAACTGCACCTTGGGTGAAAGTTTCACGATCAAGCTTGCCAATCCCAGATTTCGCAATGTCGCTACCAGCCAAACTGGATCTGGGGGTCGACCTCTTCGACGACGACGACCAAAAAATATTTTTTGGGCTGTTTGCGACATTGAACGCGAAACTTTCACACAAGGTGCAGTTGGCCAAGCCGAGCACGTTGCACTATTAAAGACCCCACGTTTCATTGTAAAGTTTGGAGATACAGGCACCTTTATGTTTGTAAGCGTGATGCTATATGAGAAGTGGTCTTTGTTCATTGTCAAGTAGGTGGACCCTGGCAGAGCAAAAGATGCAGAGGGTCGTGTTGTGTAACACAACTACGTTTGCATGAATGAAAGGGTCAATGTATAATTACTTTATGGATCATCTAGGAACAGGCATGTATTGGTAGCTAACGGCCACTTTTATCCAGTCATCATTGTTGCGAGATCCACTGCATGGGAACGATGCCCCTGCTCTAGACATTCATTTCCATGATTAAAGTAGGTTGATCCGAGCTGATTTGACTGAGTTGCGGTCAAAGAGAGATTACATCACTCTGGACATAAAGCACGCTCGATGTAGCTCAACCGATGTGATCTTGTGTGAGCGTAACTCAATCAAATCAGCTCGGATCAACCTACTTTAATCATGGAAATGAATGTCTAGAGCAGGAGAATCGTCCACCTACAATGGAATGCACAAAAGTTGGGAATGCACAAAAGTGGCTATTAGCTGCCAATGTATGACCTGAAAATGACGTTTGCGTGCCTGTCATGCATCGTCCCTGAGGTCCGGACTTTTTAGCTCAGCTACACAAAGAGGTCCTTCTGCATCTTTGGCTCTCCAGGGTCTAGATACTTTACATTAAACAAAGACCACTTGTCATATAGCATCACGCTTACAAACATAAAGGTGCCTGTATCTCCAAACTTTACAATGAAACGTGTGGTTTTTATTGGAGCAATGTGCTCGGCTTGGCCAACTGCACCTTGTGTGAAAGTTTCACGTTCAATGTCGCAACTAGCCCAAAAAATATTTTTTTGGTCGTCGTCGAAGAGGTCGACCACCAGATCCAGTTTGGCTGGTAGCGACATTGCGAAGTCTGGGATTGGCCACGATCAACGTTAAACTTGCATACAAGGTGCTGTTGGCCAAGCGAGCAGGTGTGTTCTCATAAAGAACCCACGTTTCATTGTAAAGTTTAGAGATACTACAGGCACCTTTATGTTTTAGATATGCTGTAAGCGTGATGTTATATGAAAAGAGGTCTGTATTCATTGTCAAGTAGTATGACTACAAGAGCCAAAGATGCAGAGGGACGTGTTTGTGTAACTTGAGTCATTCAGCACAGGCGATGCATAATACTTGTACACTATTTAGGAATAGTTCCAAATGCCAGCACATAGCCCATTCCTCCCATTCACCTTTGTTTCCCAATCCAATGCATGTGAACGATTGTGCTGCTCCAGCCCATCGTCGCCATCCTTCAAGTTTCATGATCCGAGAGGATTTGGTTGGGTTACGCTCAAACACAAAACATCATCCAATATCAGAAGAATCAAATTAATTTCCACTTCTTCCACTCCCAGCTTATTTGTCTCTTCCCCCCATTTTCAACTGTTGCCCCATTCCAGTATACAACTTCCACCCTGCGAACGATTGTCCTGCTTCAACCCATCGTGTCAATCCTACGATTGTCTTGATCCGATTGTCTTTGACTGCATGGGAAGTCAATGGCGTGTATACAGTCCTCTTGTCACTCTACTACAACACACGAGTCTCTTGACGCAACACACGCTCTTGCACGCTTCTCTGCCACAATCAAACGTAACAGCAGTTTCCATTAGCAAGATCTTCTCCATTGTCTCGAACAGTGTCTTTTACTTGCAACAACACGTCTTACAGCCTTTTTTACGTGAACAGAATTAGCCGTTATATGGAAGCAGCTTTATCTACGTGTAGCAAATACTTTCAATACAAATGAATCTGGACATTACGTTGCAACATTGGATGAGAGGATTTGGATGTATACAACTCGTAGGGAAGGAGTCTTTGTTCTTGTGTATCCATTGTCAACTTGAGTATTATGCTTCATGTTAGCATCCTGAACGATTGGTAGATCCAGGTTATCCCATGGCAGCTATTATTATCATCTGCAACCTGTCAATCATGTACAACCGTCATCATCCAACTCCATGTTTCGACGCCATGCATATAATTCGCTCCAAGTATCTAGTGCCATACCACGTCCATCCATTCACCTGTGCATAATGCACGCCCAAAGGATAGAAACTTCCCAATTTGATGTATCTCCTGTTGTATACTTCTCAACCTGTCATTTGTGGATAAGGATGTTGGATTAAAGGATTATCTTAGCGTATACGAGATTGCGTTGCAAGCCATTTATCAGCTTCTATAGTGTAAGAGGGCTTCTGTCTTCCTGAGTTGGACCTCGTCGTGTGTGGACACTTGATGGATTGTTGTATAAAAAGATTTATGATATGGCAAATGCAGAATTGTAGAAGTGTATCAACTCACAAATACTATGATAAAGGAAAAAAGAGAGGAACACAAAGGGTCTGATTGATACATTGTGCCTTGAGCAAATAGTGTAACACACCTCCCCTTCTTGTTTATGATCAGATTTTGTCCTCTTGTAGCTTAGATATTGTAAGATTGTGATATAGCGGTTGATGATGCAAACAGCAAAAATTGTTCTCCAAGAGAAAGGAACATCAGAGTAACTAGTCTTTTGCTATACTATGGTTCAAACTTGCTACAACAAAATCCAATGAGCAAAAGATAGCCCAATCATCTCGCATACAACCAAACCGCTTATGATCACGTGACCGTTTCAAAAAGTTAAGCAAAAGTAGGTCAAACGTTAGAGATTGAAGTGTGTAGGAGCCACCGTGGATCGAACACGGGACCAGAAGATCTGCAATCTTCCACTCTGCCACTGAGTTATAACTCCTTTTTGCGCGAAAATCGCGTTTTTCATTGCCTTGATATACGTCAAATTTTCCTTCTTGGCAACGGGTGTACATTTAGCCATCCAATCAAATAGCATAAGTCCCTGTCAATTGGATTCCGATCGCGGCGGCAAAGGGCACGTGCTCTGACCTTGCCAGGGAGCCTGTTTTATTCCAAAAAAATGTCTATTTACAATGAGGAGCATATGAAAGCAGCATTACGAGTAGCCCAAGAAGCGTATGACAATCTTGAAGTTCCAGTTGGTTGCGTTTTTGTCAAGGACAATCAAACTATTATTGCACAAGGCCGTAATCGACCCAATGAGACGTTCAATGTATGGCTATTGTATAACCCATTCCACCGATCTACTCAATAACATACCTCGTTTTCTCCATTGGTAGGCTACACGACATGCAGAGATAGAAGCGATCGATGATATACTAAAAGAGCACGACGTTTCGGTATTCAAGGATACGGATTTGTATGTCACAGTGGAGCCTTGTGTCATGTGTGCCTCGGCTTTGCGTCAGATTGGTATCCGACATGTATATTATGGTTGTGGCAACGACAAGTTTGGTGGCAATGGTTCTGTGTTTTGTATTCACAATGAGTATGTATGGTCTTGATTGGGTGGATTGAGAACATGGATATACTCATTCTATTTTATTGTTGTAGCCCACGTCTAGAAACACCTACATCAAAACCATATCCATCAGAAGGCGGTTTCTTTCGTGAGGAGGCAATCATCTTATTACGCAAGTTTTACGTGAGAGAAAATGATCATGGTAAGAGCATGGGGAGAGGGTAAATAAATACAGCTATGAGATGTATTGATATTTGGATCCATAGCTCCCATACCAAAGAAGAAAGCTACACGCGTGCTCAAGACCGAGATCAATTGACATAGATAGTTGATATCTTATACCCTCATCTAACCACATCTTTTCGCATCAATTCCAAACCCAATTAAACATAGACGACCATAATCAAATGTATCACAACTATGTATTATATTGAAGTAGAAGGGAATTCGTAAATTACGGTGTGCTGTGCTGTATTAACGATATCCAGTGGTGTTGGTGCCCTTTCAAACATCCATGTTTTCTGTTCTGTGGATAGTTCTCGTCGTGTAATGTCATCCATATTTGTATCCGGTCCACGCAGCTGAGCTTGTTCATTGATCTTGATCTTCATCTGGGTATATTGCTCGCTATGCTTGGATCCATTGTGGATATACAGGTCGAGAATTTGTCGACAAACATCTAATGTTGATAAAAGAGAATGCATGTCAGTGACAAAATCATTCCTTGTAATGAACCCCATCCATGATAACATACCTTCGATATCCTCCATCCGAGAGCAAAAGAACTGATCCCAAGGTTGGTCATTCGAAAGTTCCTGAAAAGACTTATCTTCTTGCTTGAGCATCATGGATGCCAAATGAACACAGCCTGCTGCGATCGTATGAGCCGGGTATTCCATGCACATTTGTGTTCGATAACTGATCACCAAAAGACACCCATTAACAATCACGCTTCATCTTCCCTGGAACTCAACTCTTACCTATCAACAGCTAACATGTATGCTTTTCGTGCTAATGACTCGCCATCCAATTCCCTCTGTTGCTGTATATACTTGACAAACTTGACCACATATTCGAAAGGATGCCGTTGTTGAAAATCGAAACACAATGTCTCAAGCAGGAGCTTCTCGTAGAGTATAATCCTTCGTCGTCGATCTTCTGATATTTGCTCTGGATCAAGTTCCTTGTTCGCTGGATGCCGTACACTGTGTGCTGCCACAAAGATATCCTTGAGCGTCTTGACCGTCTCCTCGATTTTACAAGCGACATAGATACATGTGATGCCGATGTCCTACAATCCTACCTGTTTAATGTATTGCATTCCAATCCTTCTCATTTCTCTTACCTGTGGCATGTAATCTCGGACCGAGTAATACAAATAGAATCGATGATAAAGCGCTTGTGCCGTGCTAGTCGTGTTTTGAGGACTATAATGAAACATGAGTACCTATTACAAACCCTTCAACAGCAAGCGAATAGAAGGTGCATACTCACAAGCCGATTTTGTTGCATACTTGTTGAATGAACTTGCAACTCGAATTCCGTGTTGCCGATTCTCTGGAAGAGGAAAAGCTGCCAGATCCTTTCAGTGAAGCCAATGTGTTCAGCTGTCGTTTAGTGAAATAAGGCCGAAATCGACGACGATATGTGTAGCCAGAAATCAACTTGGAGGGAGTCAATGGAGCAGATGTTAATGGAGACGAACCGCTGAGTGACATTGAGTGGAAGAAGAAGAGTCAACTTATCCCTCCAATTGTACGGCGATTTCCTATTTCCTATGCCGCTGTCACCCAACACTCATGCAGCATCGGCACATCAAAACCACATTTAGTAGGATGCACGTGAGCACGCTATGGAGGATCCCATTATACTTTATTGTCAAAGAGGATGTTGGTATGTATGAATAAGGATCGCACTAAATAAAACACTCAAAGCTTCTGGATAGCCAAACTTTTACTTTATTTTAACCTTCCTCGAATTTCATCAATGGCTTTCCGTATTTGATCATAAGCAATGTGTTGCTACAAGTTGAGATGTTAGCACATCTTACTAGACTATTGCTGGTATAAACAACACTTACATCGGATTTGAGATGAGGTTCCGGATGACTCACTAGATAGAAATAGCCACACGTACTACAAACATCCAATGCCGAATCATCATTTGCAGCTACTGCCATAGTTTTCGAGACTTCAGCCTATTCCACTAATCAGTGTACAATCCTTGACACATCTTCATGGATCCATTTCTTACCTCTGCCTGCTTCTTTAACCTGATTCTTTCATGCACTTTTTCCAAATGACCATCGGCTGCTGTCATATCCCCTTTTCCAACTAGATGCGTGTGCCCAAATGAGATCCTAATAGCACTAGATAATAAAAGTATCACTTACTGAAGGTATCACGTTCGTCCAATAAGCGTACAATTTCTCTGTGCAGACTCAACATTTGCCTCCTCTAAACGTCCATAATGAGCCACTGGATACAATCACACCGTCCACCTCCTACCAACTTACTGCGTCCTTTGCTTTATCATCCTTTACAAACATCTCTCGAGCACGCATCCGCCACCCCTTCGCAAGATTATCCCTGTTCTTGATAAATTGTTCGAGACTTTCCAAGTGCTCCTTGTCACGTGCTTTGCTACGATCTTGTTGTATATCGAGCTGGTATTCGGTTTGCAAGTCTAAATCATGCACCTTGTTGCACGACTGGACAGCGAAATCAGCCAAAAGAGTTCAAAAGACATCCTTTGTAATAACTCACATAGCCCCTAAGAAATCAATATCAACAACAAGCACAAATAACATGTACCTTCTCTTTTGCTTACTGCACAAACTCTAGAGGACAGAGCCCACAAAGGTGGTCAACACACACACTTGGATCAGTGTACGATCGCTTCTTGTCTTTGGTGTCATTAGCGAATGATAGCATGGGAAAGCTTCTTGATCTAAGTACCATTGGTTCTCGGTGGCTGTGTGTTCATTACGAAGGATAGCTGGTGAGTGTGGAATAGACCAAGGAACAAGACTCAGCACACCCACACAGGGGTTAAATATATAATCATTGTTCTGCATTTGCGGTAAAAAGCTACTTGGGTACCTATCATGCACTATTCGGCGTTCGACATGGCTTATTCCAATCCACATAGACTTACTTTATTTCGAGAGGAAGTGCACAAGAGTTAATCCACCCATGATTCAACCATCCAGGGAAGTAAAACATTCATCCGAGTCATCCGTTCACTTTATGCTTTATCGATTATCCTTGGTACCGGACAATGACAAGAGCAACGCTCAACACAATACAACATATTGCCGATATCACCAGTTACCTTCTTCCTCTCTATTCCATTGTTGTTTCGCTTTCAATAAACGCATCTTGTTTCATGTACCGACTTGCTTGGTGCGGAAGATACAGCACGCACAGTGGGAATATTGATGCGTAAATACGAGAAAAATGATTATGCGTTCCTGTACTTTGTCCTTTTTTCTCTCTTTTTCTCTCTCTCACTTTTTTCACAACCCTGGAAACATCATTGTCAACGTGCACTTTGCTTCTTTTTCCTTTACTCTATTTTCGCATGCAACAACAAGATAATACGTCCCCTAAAAAACAACCATCACCTGCTATTGCTAACGCTTACAATGGATCTCTCGAACAAGCGTATCTTTTGCTGGATGCTATTCAAATGAACCGAGGCGAAAGATTAGGTTCACGATGCCTAGGTGAGCTGCAGTAACAAAGGTCACGGGTATATGCTTATCATTGTCACTCAGCCTATCTCGCAAAACGTGTGACCGACTTGTGGGATGCTGAACCAAAACCCGAACCTTTGCATGGTGTCATGAATAGCCTATTGGATGCTACACCACCTCCACCATCTAAAGGCGACCTATCTTTTCAAGCACGATTGGAGTCCTTTTGTCGTGATACGAGTCCCACATCAACCATATGTCCAAGTCTCACACTACTGATGGCTATTAGCTACCTTGAACGATTAAAAGAGGCAAGCAGTGAATTATACCTTCTACTACTGTCATACTTATGCTACGTATTTTACCGATTAGAAGCATACAAGTATCCGTGGTACCGATGGATGTGCATCACGGCTGATCGTGGCGGCTTATGGTGTAGCAACAAAGTACATACGAGCTAATCTTCGGCTTATCACCACCTCTCATACCGCTGCTGCTGATAGCAATGAACCACCAACACCACCAACACCACCTACCCCATCCACATCAGATACCATTCATAGCGACAAGGATATTGAAACCAACAGCAATCAACGAGCTTTACGCATGGAAAGTGAGCTTTTGCATTTGCTCAACTACAACCTTGCCATCCATGAACCATCCCATTTAGTATGGTGGTCAAAAACATTCGAAGTAATCCCTGATGAATATTCTCACGTATGATACAATATATTTACATTCCTTTATATGGTGATGGTTTACAAAAAAATGAGGTGTCATAATGAGTGGATACATTGTTTACAAGTTGAAGCGTTCTTTGTATTCTATAAAAGTGGGGGAGTAAGGGCTTGAACAAGAGACCGCTGATGGTGATCGTGGTGGTGGTGGAGGAACAAGGAATCCTGATGAAGGTTGCTTTTTATGTTGACGATACGTAAAGATGGTTGGTGATTCATGTTTGTTACAAGGTGTGAGGAGCACAGGTGGTGATGGTTGAGCAAGCGTGATTGTAGTGGGTGAGGAAAGGATGCTGGGTGAGGACGGTGCTGCTGCATAATCTCCAGGTCGTACAACATCCCATAATCCAGGCATGTCATCCAGTGGGTGAACCATGATGGGTGATAAGAGCACCCCACGACGACGTGTCAATGATGCTTGTCGCTTGTTGCTATCAAAGGTGGATATGGATTTGGTGTATATAGGGCTGTTGCTAGGTGATGGTAGTAATCGAGATCGTATCGCTTCGACCCAGCTAGCCATTTCCTCGGATGATTCACATGCCAGTGTCAGTGGTCGGTTGCCTTGCTTGATAATTGGCTCAAGCCGAAAGCAGTAGGGTCGGCTACTGCTACTAGTAAGAGTCACCACTTGGCACATTTCTTCCAAGTTGATAACGTACGTTGGCGTTTCTATATGCTATACGTGTGTGAGAGCTATGATGCATATGAATTATTTCCTTGTAAACATCCAAACCTCATTTCTATAGCATCGGAGCTCTGTATCAAGCAATACAAAGAATCGTCTATGCCACCGGGTCTTGGTGCTGCCAATGCCTCGACAAGGTAACATCATCTTTGTCATCCAACCAGCCCGTGGACGTCGTAGTGAAGAAGATCTAGGAGGAGGCACTACGATCAAAGACATGGCTGTGGCGTGTGGATCAATTCAAAAGAGAGAAAAAACGATATTAAAAAAGGAGTGTGTGTATGGCTTGCTAGTTTTTATAGCTCACCAATGTTTTTCTCTTGTCTCATTATTCTGACGGTACCAGAATAGTAAAGTGGACACGGGCAAAGCCCCTGCTTTGACAAATGTCCTTCTTTTTCAGGAGGTGTAAGCTACAGGCGGTGGTCCAACATACCTTGTTGATGGAAGAAGAATGGGGAATACCACCAGCGTCTGCCAAGATAGGGGTACGACGATCAGTAAAGCGTTTTGGGATTACGTCTATTTGCTATCATATTCTGACAACAACAGCAACATCATAATTGATTGTTTACCGGCAGTGTGTATAAGCATGCCATGTGTTCAAAAAGCACAATGAAAAAAATGCCAAGTCGTACGACGCGCAATTCTCACTTATTAACATGCATACATCGTGACAAGGTAAATGATGGTGATTATGCAAGGAAATATACATAGCCAACGGCTTATGAAGTGATTCGATGCACCAAGTATGATCGTTAACATCAATGATAGCTTAACACCCCATCAGCCTCTCGGCGTATCCATGGCAACAACGCTGCATAAAGACATTCATGATAACAAATCCATTGGTATGTGAGTGATCCACCAATCCAAAGCAATCATTGTTTAAGCTCATGATTTAAATCGAACGTTGTGGGAGAAGAAAAAGAATGCAGGTAATAACGATATGAGATAGGGATTAAAGCGAAGTCTATAATTACATGATAATATATGCCGATGGGGGTCTTTCTTCTTTTCACTCGCACTTTTCTTCAGGAATATAAATGGCTTGTGGTGGGCGGATGATGAATCGCCATAGAGGGAAAATGACAAGGACCACTGCAGCAACAATCGACCATCCGATCTTGACTGCCATAGGTGCAGGCACAGGGAATTCGTTCTCGGAAAACTTGAGGCAAATGATTGATTCGGTCATGACATTGCAAATCATGAGCCATGCGTGTGCTCCAAGTCGTTTGGTACCGTTATTGGGACTAAGTGACGTTGTGATACATCATGTTAGCATAAGAAAATCTCCCACCACATGCTGACTTACCCATCCATAAGATATTGATAAACATCACGTGCAGCCGGTAACGAAAACAGGAACATGAGAGTGAGGCGATACGTATTCAAAGGATGCTCTGGTGGCACCCATAATAGATACTTGAGATAGAAGCAGTTGAGCTCGCATTGAAGTGCCTGGAATAATAAAACGATACCCGAGATCAACAACCATGAAGAATGCTCAAGAGATAACCCTGAAATATTTACCACAATCATCAAGCCGATCACACCAAAGTAGTTCTTTGGGCTACTTGTCGACTTCCATTCGAAGCGGGTCCAATCATGAGGCGTGAATTGCTGTACAGCACGCTTGGCTTTGCCCTTTAGTCCCTTGATTTGCCGGAAACCCACCCAAGAATATTCCTATACATGCTGCCATCAATCATCGTGTGATCCCGCTATCCTTCCTTATACCCACCTTCATTTCAAAGTAACGACACGTTTTCATGCCGAGGTAAATACCAGCCCAGTTACACACAAGGACATCAAGGATCCACTAGAAACAGGGGCACATGTCAGCTGATGCTCCATATACAAATAAAGCTCTCCAGATCCATGACATACATGATCCCACCAGCACTCTGCGAAATTGTTCAGCTGATGTTGTAGCGAGTATTCGCAAAACTCAAAGGTCACCGATACGATCCAGCATAACCAATAATCTCGAAGAATGATCGACTTGCCATACCAACCAACAACGTGTGCAAGAACAAAGATATCCATTTGATTCTACTCATACCCACCAGATCAGATCCTTGATCCTTGATGTTATGCTCCTCCTTCTTACCTTTAATGTATCCATTGACAGATCACAACTTTCAGCATAAGATCGTTCGGGCAGCTGTCGACCAAGATTGGTATCAAAGTAGACCATGAATTTACGTGCTTCATCCTTATTCTATAATGGACATAGTCGTTAGCATTTTGATAGAGAAAGAGGAGGAGGGATCGTCCATGATGGTACTTACCAGAAACAATAGGAATACAAGAAGCAGCTGATATAGCACACTAAGGCTTAGCACTGCTCTCCAGAATGGTATACTGGGTCGAATAAAGGGACCATCACGGAACTGCAGCATGCCAATAAATACGAAGCAGCCCATAGCAGCTGATATGCCGAGCTTGACGCTTGTCTCAGTGCCTTCATAGTTGGTTCGAACCGCTGCATAGAACAGCCATGCCAGTAACAATGCCAATGCCGTCAATGTATGTGGGTGAACTGAAAGGTAAGGAGGAGGATAAGTGTGTTGCCCATGACGTTGTTGTTGTTGTTCGAATTGCCCACTCTGGCATTGACTCACAAACTGTTTCATTGTCGGTGGAAGAAGCGTCTTTTGTCTTGGCTTGACCATTGGAGCGAATCAGACCCACGGCGGCAATGTCCTTCTCCACGGTGGTTGAAGCCATGTTCCACAGGATAAAGAAGAGTAGAGTTTATGTAAAGTGATAAATAAAGTGGTTGGAGATAAAAGACAAAAAGGGATGCCCCTCTTGCGTTCTCTTGTAAAAGTAAAAAGGATGCCGTGACTGGCGGCGAGTTGACAGATCGACAAGGGAGTTATGAATAATACATACACATCACAACTATCATGCTCAGGGTACCCGGATCAAGGTCTTCCTATCGTATAAAGTGTTTGGGAACCTGCAAATGCCGCAACAATGCATGACATGTCTTGGGATCAATCTTCTTTTGTCACAAAACAGAGTGGTGGATAATCATCCATCGGATTCGCTGCATTTTGCCGATGTATGTGTAACACTACTTTTGATTTGGTTTTTTGGTACTACGAGAATATGAATACAAGTACTTGGATCTGCAATGGCTTATTAACAAATATACGTTGCTATGCAACAACGTCGTTGTGGCTATTTACATGTGACTTTTTCCTCCTCGTCAATCTTAGCCCACAATGAGCATATGACCATCTCACCTGTTTAATTATGCATTCCCAGCACCATTGCATAAATAGCATTGTTTGGTAATGTTGAGCATATACGAATTCATGCCGAATGAGTTTAAAGCGTTTGGATCATCGTTGCTAGGGGGCAACCTTTGCGAGAATAGAGGTATTGGAAACGTAGGCATCACGTGTTATGCTAAGAGGTGCTGGATGTCTCAGCCTGATCTACATACACACTCCGAAGCCCCCCATATTGGAAACTCGTAGAAACAAGCTGTAGATGTTGCATGTCTTGAAACAGCAGATCGTGACCACATTTAAAGAGTGGATAAAAAGGTGTCATTCTTATAGCTTATGATCTTTATGAGCATATGAATAATAGGAAGATCCATAATGTGCTATTCTTGTGGAGGAGGCGGGATAGTAGGGTGTGGGACCCAATCAAGGAAATGTCCGGTGTGCGTGTCTACGACAATGAGACTCCACAACGCGCTCTCGCGAACTTGCTTTCTTTCACTCTTATACGTATATACATATTTATATTACCATGCCTCTCCACCCTACTGTTCTCTGGGCTCAACGAAAGGACCTTATTTATCTGACCGTCCAGCTTATTGATATCAGTGTAAGTACTCAAGGAATGGGGAGGAGGTGCTCATACATATATTATGCTCTCGTCATTTCCCGCGCTGCTTTACATTGCCCCATCCCTACTTTTCTCAAACCAACCATGGCTCACTTGTATTCCATCAGAAACCCGAAATTGACGTCAAGAGCGACCGCTTCCATTTCAAAGGAAAAGGCGAAGAGGAACAAAAAGAATATGAAGCTGATATCGAGTTCTACGGTCCCGTGGATGTCGAGGTAAATGTTGCATAGCACTCTCTACGTGTATTGTATATACAACTCACTTGTGCGCGCTCTCTTAGAAATCCAAACAACATTTGACACCTCGTAACCTTACCATGATCATTTACAAGAAGGAGGAAGGTTATTGGCCACGTCTTCAAAAGGGTGGCAAGCTCAACTACGTCAAGGTCGACTTTTCAAAATGGAAGGATGAAGATGAAGAAGAGGAAGAGGAAAGTGCTGATCCTATGGGTGGTATGGATTTCCAAAGCCTGATGGCTCAAGCTGGTGGCAACATGCCCACCATGGATGATATGGTATGTACTTGTGTGGGTTGATGATCTATGCAATAGGAGCAAAAGCAGCTTACTCTTTCATTCGTTATTATAGCCCGAAGATTCGAGCAGTGATGAAGAAGATGCCAAGGAAGGTGGCAAGCAGGAAAAGAAAGGTAAGATGGGAAACAAGGTTTAATAATCTCTCTATCTAATACCCTTTATCAGAGTAAAGATAAAACTAAATGGGCAACGATGATAAATAAAGAGGAGACTTTTGACTCAATATATAATGTGTGATCCAGGCTCGTTGGGATTCATTGTTTGACATATCATAGCTTCTTATCAACATCCTCTTTCTCATGTCGTCAGCCTTTACGATATGATTTGACAAGTAATGAAGCTTCCTTATGTATGTATCCAAGTATGCAATCAATAAAGGCAATGTTCAAGCAAATTTGGTTTGTACTAGTGGCTGTGAGAATTTATGCTGACCAAGTGTAATGCGCAGGATTCCGCTGACAAAAGACTATTGTCGTGTGTTGGCTACACTCGATACACCTTTCTCTCTCTCACTCACTACTCTGTAATGGACCCGAACGACCCCTCCACCTTCAACCACCAATACGCCAATATCAATGGCATCCGCCTGCATTACATTGACGCCAACCCGTCATCCCACAATGTCTTGCTTTTCATTCACGGTTGGCCCGATCTGTAAGTTCTTGAAACACAACCTGTTATCCTTTATTGACAACATTATTCTATAGTTGGCTTGGCTGGCGATATCAGATACCCTTCTTCTCCAAGCTTGGCTATCGAGTGATTGTACCTAGCCTTCGTGGATTTGGCGAAACAGTGAGTGAGGATGACCAACACCTTGATACTTTGGTAGCATTGACCGAGCATTGCCCGTTATAGGATTCCCCTGAGGACTTGACAACCTATGGTGACAAAGGCATCTCAGCTGATTTGGCAGCTCTTCTCGATCATTTATCCATTCCCACTGTGGTCGTTGTTGGTCATGATTGGGGTGGTATGGTTGCATGGCGTTTCACACAATTCCATCCCGAGCGTGTTCGTGCTGGTACGTATTCATCATAGTCGTATTGGTATGCAAATTGATTAACATGACTTCCTTGAATAGTGGCATCATTCTGTACACCGTACAATCCTCCCGAGCAGCAATACATTCCATTGGAGAACCTTGTTGAGTTCATGCCAAACTTCAAATACCAGCTTTATTTGGTCTCTCCTGAAGCAGAACAAGAGATCAATGAACATGTAAGACAATGACAACAATGAAGCTATCCACATCACCTTATTAACTTATGTTCCCAAAAGACCGCGGATTTCTTCAAACTCGTTTTTCGACCTGTATCGGAGGCACGAGCTCTCATCTATAAGAAAACCAACAAGCTTGTGATAGGTCGCACCAATGCATCAAAAAGCGAGGCACTTTCTCAAAAGGTACAACGTCTATGCAACCACGCAGGATCTCGATAAACTTACATTGAGCCATTTTTAGGTCTTGGATTACTATGTCAAGAGCTATCAGCGAAATGGATCACGTGGCTCCCTTAATTGGTATAAGCGGCGCAAAATCAATTACGAACAATGCAAAGGTGAGTGTCTTTGTTTACTTGTTTATCCACCCATTTGCTTACATACGTTCATAGATCTCGATCCCATTATCCGCAAACCAGCTCTCATGGTCACAGCTGCAAAGGACGCTGCGTTGCCCCCTTCATTGACCAAGAACATGCACAAGTACATTCCGGATCTCACTCAACACAACGTGGATGATGCGGGGCATTGGGTGCTTTGGGAAAAGCCTGACGAGTGCAACACGTATTTGCTAAAGTGGCTCAACAAGGTTTCACCTGCTAAGCTGTAAATGAGATAAAGTTAGAAGCAAATGACGATTAAACTCAGAGATGTTATGCTTGATCTTAAAGATCATGTGCCCAAGAAAGACCCTAATTTTGTATTCCTGCCATAGTTGTCATTATTGAGTGATATATATAAAGCTTTTTAATTTATTGACTTTACCAATATAGAGATTGTCATTTATCTTAGACAGCAGCATAGAGTAGTATCGATCGTTTTGTACAGGCAATTACACATGTATAAGACAATAGAGAAGAGAAGGTGTTGTGGTACAAGTAGAGAGAGGTGGAGAAGGGGAAAGGAATAGAACGAGGATCGAGGATGGGAAGGAAAGGAGAAGAATGGGGTGGATTAACAAAATGTATAATGTTTGTTGGTTTTATATACGGCCTTGCCGTCGCTCCTGACCAGCAAAAGCGGGACACTGCAGGCACCATCAGCTTTCCATTGTGCCCCAATAGCATGGGTAAGCTCTCCATGAGAAGGCACTTGGCATAATATCAATTCCCGACCACGATATTCAGATCTTGGAGAACGTATGTCACCAAACCATACATCCAATTCACGTGTAAAGTATTCACCATGAATGCTCAAAAATACAGCTTGTGGATCTGTATTATCGGCTGGAGCTTTGGATCGCGAGTAGCCAAGAAGATTGGGGATCATGGATGTAGAGGCAGGTCGATAGTTCATGTCGCCTAAGTCATTTTCCATAGAGGAGGGCTCCCATAGGGTATATCTTGCATATTCTACAGCAACACAATGATAAGCAAAACAATGAAATAAAAGGGGGGATGTTCATTTTACCTGTTCCAACGATGCTCCACACTGCTGAATCAGAAACTTCCTCGTACCAATATGCTCCTAACTCAGACCACGATGGGGTCAAAGTGCTTTGCATACTTTGTCGATCGCTGTAATAATCATCGGCAATCGATACTGATCGGCTTCGTTTACTTGCCAACATGGGTTGTTGATGGGGGTGGTGTTGCATCATAGAGGCTTCAGGTAACGATGGTAGTGGATCAACAGGGCGTTGTTGTTGTTGATGCATCATCCCATAATAAAAGCTTGATGCGCTACCAGTGGATGCAATACGCCGACGAGTAATAGCACGTGGGTCGTCATTGTTGTTGTTGTTGTTGTTATTGTCGTGATGAAAAACGGGGCGAATGGGTTTGCGTTCGTGCACGGAGCGATGCATGCCAACCATGTCATTGAGACAAGCAAGGTAGGTTGCTGGGCCATTATTGGATGTGCGTGGAAGCATGCTGCCATTGTATTGATGCGTTGAAGGATTATGGTGTGGACGTGATGCAGGATCTTGTACTATTTGTAATGCAACCTTGTGTAATTGTGATACAGGATCACCAAGAATTTCATCACCGTATTCTCCTCCACCTCCATGTTGTGGATCATCAGCCGCATGTGGATAGTTGTCAGTATTGGCACCGCCAACAACTGTTGCAGCGCGATCAACTTTACGTATGATCATGACAGGGCTCACTAAACCTGTTGTAAGGCATTGTAACACGATGTGCTGATTGTAGTGAACGGCAAGGGGTTGACCTGTTTTGTTCTTCGCTGCAATAGCAGGTGGTGGTGGATATGGCACATCGTTACGTAAGGATTGGGCACAGCTTGGGCCAATGTATTCATCCACATCAGCTTGCACTTGCTCTGTTGATGTTACCCAATTGGTATCCACGGTCCAAATAACAAAGGGATCCCAGCTTGCTGTTCTTGCAATGAAGCATGTGCCATCGGAGCTACTCGCTGTTGGTGTGTTTGTTGTGCCGTTGCCATGGCTACCTTGTTGCCCGGCCTTGTTCGATTGCCCTGGATACATAAAAGGTTGTGCTGCTGTGGATGATGATACACCAAGGTACTTTGTGGACACTGTCTGAGATCGAATACGATTGAACAATGACACCGTGCTGCCATGGTGAATGCATGCTGTAGAGAAAAGCTAAGCTAAGCATATCATTTACATGTATGTATACAATGATCCCAAGAATTACCCTCTGTGTTCTTCACATTGGATCGTTTCTTGCTTGGCTTGCTGATGACTTTGATTGGTTTGCTTGAAATCGTCCCACAAGGTGTGCCGTCGCCAAACTGGATACGAGCAACACATTCAACACGCTTTCGTTTTTCATCAGCATCATTAATGTAGAGTTGTCGAAGCACACATTTTCCACCAGCAAGTGGGTCGTTGTTTGGAATACGATACCAATCACGGATCGTTGAGTTGCTTTTGTCAATGCTTTTCATGCGTCCGCTACTGCCACCGCTGCCGGTATTGGTGCGAAAACCCGTTTGCCCCACAACGGTACCTGATACTGAAAACCAGTCCACTTGTCCTTCTTGGACTTCGGACGTTTCACCCGACATAGACACTTGGAGTTTAGGAGGCGTGGTTTGACACCACCATGATGCACCATCAAAAATGACCGTTGGTGGAGGACAAAGGAATCTAATAACAAGGATTAATATATAATCAATTTACATGTATGTAATATTAGGTCACCTTTTCTCGCTACCATAGCTTTTTTGTGCGACTTTGCCGGTAAGAATGACTACCGTTCTTTCTCCCATGGCGGCTGGATCGGGAGATAATAGGTAGCTTTGCACGTGGGGACGTAGCCACGTTGCCACAGCTGCATTCTGTAAGTATTTGGCAGTGCTTAAGCCAAGTTTACCACTCGTAGTCAAGGGTGGTTCCATATAGGCGACGTTGCTTGAGTTCGTGTTGTTGGCATGGTTACTATTATTGCTATGAGGTGTGGCTCCTTTGCTGAGAAAGTTTTGTTGGAATAGGCTCGTGGTTGCAGATGCAGTAGAATTGTCAAAGACAGGTGATCGATTGCGGGATTGAAATAAAAGGCTCTTGTTTGAATGTGGCCGAAAAGATGTCATAGCTGTTGAAGGTGAGGATGTTGTTGCTGTTGTAGGCGTATGATGATGCTGAATGGATTCCGAAGTTAACTCGTTGTAGCTAGGCTGCTCAATGAGGAAAATAAGGTAATAGGGATCCGTGGTAAGAGACATGCATTATTCATGTGAAAGCGCACTTTTTAATTAACTTACTGTACGCTGCCGTGGAGGATACGATGATGCATCTTGCTTTTTTGGTGATGACACAAGGCTCGACAATGGCCCATCAAGGAGATCAAGGGTAAACGTATTATCTTGATGCTGCCGTGTTGTACTTAGATGAGAATCAGTGGATGAGGAATAAGGTTGGTTGTTTTCATTGCTATCATTCGTCCACAAAGAAGGCTGTAACCAAGGTGCTGATGTAACCACTACGGGGCTACCGTTGTCATGACCACCAGCAGAGTTACTATCGGCTATATGATCTTGTCGAGCAAACCCACTATATGGCAATTCAGCATTGTGCATTTGCTGAGAACGATTGTATAGGTTGTTATTGCTTTCTCGGTGACGATGATGATTATCATCATTACCACGTACAATAGGTGTTTGTGGCTGTGTCGATTCCCAAGGGGCAAGGGATGATGATGGTGTAGATTGAGAATTGGCCCCCTCATTCGCGTCGATTGATGAATAAATCACATCAAACGGGCTGCTGTAGTCATGCAATTCGGCATTGTTGTTATGATGGCTTGTGCTGCTATTGTTGCTACGACCATCATTCGTGTTGGATGAAGATGAAAGGGGTGGAGTTGGTGTGTTCCTGGGAGACACATTGTTCACCGATAAAAAGCGAAAGACATCCTGCTGATAAAAGTATCGATCTGCTGATTAGTTGATGGTGCCATTTGGTATAATAAAACAGCTATCCAAGTCGACATACCGTATTTGAGATGCTATTATTGCTACGTCCTGCATTCAATGTTGCTCCTAATACTGTAGATTTTCCCGTATTGCCGTTTTCGTTATTGTTAATAGTGCTGCGTGTGGGGAGAGATGTCGATGATGAAAGGAAAGGAGGAAGCGATGGGTTCTCAGTACTTAACATGGAAGGTGACCATGTAATTTGAACCGAAGAATCTTCCTGTGCTTGCATGTTTTCTTGACGGATGCAATTATTGGCAGCAAAAGCAGACGGCGAGTTATGATGTTGTTGATGGCCGATGACAATACCAGTGGCGTTGGTGGTAGTTGATGTGTCGTGGGAAGGAGACGACGTGATCGTCATCGTTATGAAACAGGACGTGTATAATTCCGCACCCTCCGCTTTGGCTTGAAACCTTTTGCTTTTCTATTATTTGCTTTGAGATGAAAGGGAGCAAACCCGGGATACCAGAAAAAAGCGGGAAGAGAAGAAAAGAAAGGGGAAAAAGTAAGCATTGGATCCTAACCCCAGGTTTAAAGAATAGAGTCGTACAATCAAGAAAGAAAAAGGAAGCATACTAAATAGCTCTTCTCCCCACCCACGGTCTCATTGCTATCCTTTTGCGGCTCACAGCGTGTATGTATAATACGCACATGCGTGTATTGTGTAATTTTCTTTTGTCCACGGCACCTGTAAATAGCTCTTGACAGAATTCATATGCATGCGACCTTAATGAAAATGTCATAAGAGGTATGTTTAAGCATGGATCAGCAAACATTTATCTCTAGAGATCAAGCGTGGGACGCAGTATTGTTATGTGGAGAGAAAGGAAACCAGCCCCCCGCATTTCGTTTCCCCACCTGACATCCCGCCTTGTGTTACCATCCGTGTGCACGCGTGCAACAATTTGGATGTTGTGCGCGGAGAAGTTTCAAGTGGGAAGAGCGACATGCAAGTTGTATAACCAAGACGATGGAAAACTTCCAACGAGCTTTTGCTGTATCAACCATGAAGGTAAAGCGATGTATGGTTGTGTAGTACTCATTGAGAATCCTGAAATCATCATAATAATACCTTGTTGCACCACATGGTTTAAACATGGTGAAGCACAAAAAGCTTGGTGATCCGCCAAAAATAAAAGGTGAGCTATAAAATGCATATTGGCCTTTGATCAAAGCTGTCACGGACACCTTGATGATCAATTTAATAATGCTGTTTATACTCTTCATTAGCTGATTCGTCCCGCATCGCCCGCCCTTTGTCCCAATATAAAGGTTGGTCTGTACTAAAACAGGGAAGGTTACCATTATAGCTGCCAATGGCGCACGACAACCCCCACATTTCTCCGCGAATATAGACATAAATGTTCTTACTTTCGGGCCCTTCATGCTGGTATAGGCCATTTATCCCAAGATCCTTTTCTTGAGATAACGGAAATGTACCTGATCATCTTGCCGGTAGACGCAATCCATCAACAATCCATCATCCCCACATTTATGATGCATATCATGTTCGTCCGAAAATGATCGTAACGTATTTGAGATCTCTTGACGCTCCATCTCCTTGACACCACGCATGATTTGCAAAGATGGAGCTTTACCCTATTCATTTTCTCCACGCACCACCCATTGAGAAGTGGATGAACCCGCCCTTTTGAACTCCTTAACGTCGTGTAACAAGTGCATCTCGATTGGTTGGTATAGTGTAACTACCACTGGCACAGGAGTATCGTGTACCTATGTAATCCACGTTTGGTCCAAGGCCAAAGCTCAATGGATGTTGTACCATGGTTCAAAGTGAAGAGCTCATTTTGTTATGCGACCTACCATGCTATCATTCTATAAGATATATAGAGAAGCGATCGATGACGATGGCAATGTATCATGTGTTACTAGAAGGTGACAGCTGTGGCGTGCTCGTTGACAGCCTGATAAACTTAGCTCTTTAATGTGCAAAGATGATGTGGCCGCCAACTAACTCTAAGATTAAGGTGGGTACCCTATACACAAATACAGCTTCTGCATGTATAATCTTATAGCCTTGATACGTGGGATGCTCTAACAGCAAGGATCTAGCGTCGAGATTTTCAAGTAGGTGTGCTGTACGCTGACATAGTATGGGAGGAAGGTCAATGTTTTGCTCACTGCGTGAGCCCGTTGTTTATGGATAGGCATGCTCTCATGAATCCCAATAGCATGTGATGATAGCAAGGGACCACGATGCCATTAAATTGCTTGGTTACAATAGCAAGTGTTGGCTGAGGAGGGATGCTTTGTGTAAAGCGTTGGTGTTGTAGCGTAAAAGCAAACAAAGGGAAAACGAAAGATTTTGCATGAGCCGAGTGTATCAGCCCGCCTTAAAATATGTGTGTGTGAGTGTGCATAATGCTGCCTCTATAAAAATACAACATGGGGTGTATGCATAAAAGGCTGATTGCTTCTCTCTTTCTTGCTTTCGTTTCCTACCCCTTTTTTATCATCATCCATGTCACGGCTTTTGACACGTGTGCTACACCCATGGCGAACCATTAAGCGACATCATACCAAGAAGCATTCATCTGAGCAGCAACAACAATCATTCACCAGCGCCTCATCCACCGTTATTGTTGCGCCTTCGCTTTCATTCTCGACATCATCTTGTTTGACCGAGTCCCAATACTATCGAGATGATCTGGTGCGTGTAGATGCTTTGCAATATGCCTTAAACCGACAACATGATAAGGATGGCAATGAGGATTTCTTTTGCATATGGAACGATGAGCTTGATCGAGTATACGAGAGGAGCCGTGTAGCACTAGGATCGTTGGAACAAAGGGTGGACGAGCTTTGCAGTGAGATCTGCATCATTGTGCGCAATCATGCAATGTAACTTTCCTTATACAGCTACTCATTCACCTTTTTCTTGGCTTCCTACACAGGCCTCTCCTTTGCAAAACCCAAATTGTCGTTCCTTGCAGCATGCCCAACAGCTCATATCCAATTATTTGCGTGAATGGCAAGTAGCCCCAGGTCAAACCACTAGCCAGCGACCCAAAAGCCAACTCGTAACAAGGGAGAAAGATGACAATGATGAGGACAAAAAGATTGTATCGGGAGAGAAATTTCAAGAAAGCAACATGTCATTTGATGTTTACTTCCAAGGTCTCAAGGAGAGGGTGCTATCTTCTGTAAGGACATACATTTGCATACATGCTTGTTTATTGTCGACCTAGCAGCTGAGCTCCCTTTTTTTTAGAACGACGCCCATCCGGAGCTAACAAGGTGCATCCAATTGGTCTGTCAATGGGAGCATGACCTCTTTCTATTTCAACAGTACTTGGATCAACAAATGTTGATTTTGTGGGACGTGGCTCATCACCAGCCATCTATTCTTCACTTGCTACAGTCACGTTGGCATCGACGTTACAATCAATGCACACAAGGGGCTCAGGCGCTTCAAGATAGAGTAAAGGTAACTAATACGTGCTCCTGTAATGGGCGTTTACTAACGCTTTGTTTAAAAAAAAAGACCTTATTGGAGAAGAGTGCGCCATCACGTGAAGATTTTACATGTGCGATTTGCCTATGTGTCCTTTCAGAGCCAGTGACGCTTGCCAATTGTCTCCACACTTTTTGTCGATCATGTTTGCAACGTCTTTATTGTACATGCACCTCACCTTATTGCAACAGCCCATGTCATTATACATCACGCCATTATCGGCGGCAACGTCACCGGCAATCATCCATCTCATACAGCAAAAAGAAACAAAAGCTACTTGCCTGCCAGTGTAATTTCAGCATGCCTGTTCAGCATGCATGCCCCTTATGTCGATCATCTTTTACGGTGCAGGATTGTACAATGAATGTGGCTCTCGATAACTTTATTACTTTATACTTTCCATACGAAGAAAACTCGACAATGAATAATCCAAGTGGTCGTCAGCAACGCAACAAGCGACGTTCATCTATTTATCAAGCTGTACAACAATGGCTCAATGGGGATGATTTACAAGGCCAAGAGCCACCACCTCTTCCCACCACCACTACTACTACTAGTAATACCTCTCCTTCAACGGGAGCTGGAACAAGGTATGACAGTAGCATTCGCCCTGAATCTACCGCTGCAGGATACGACGCGTTCAATCGTGATCTTTATAATCTGGCCCGTCGTTCGTGGTGGTTTTAATCCTTAATCTAATTACATAAAGCGGATGAATAGCGGCATGAAACAATTATTAAAGCCGCAGCTCCACCGATATTTAGTAAAAGAGACATTTTATTATCATTGAAAGCTCCCTGACATTCAAGTATCAATGTTTATCTAAGATAAGGGTAACCGTGTACTGGAACACCATGTTCAACAAGAAGCATTAGGATGGCTAGGCGGTGTGTGCTTGTTTATGATACGAATTGAATGAGACCATGCGACCGGAGACTTTTACTATATACAAGTACTATCAATAAATGAAGACAATATCTCAAGACCAACGTACCATCCCCGTATCGGTGGGGTTACCCCCAACCCACTTGTCCAGGTATGCAACCTCTTGTTGATGACTGCTTGAGATTAGTCATTTCCGCCAACGAGCTTGTTGAAAGGACTGGCCTGGATGTTGAAGGAGCGGTAGGGGTGATCAATATGAATGTCCGTATGCATACCAATAGTGCTGCAATGAAGGACTACAACCAAAGACCATGTCCAACAAAGGGCCCAGTACATCGTGAACATATGTATCCTCTTGATTATGGTGCGTTGCGCCGCATAGTTTGAGTTGGGGCAGGCTGGATAAGAACCAACATCAGTCTTTGTACCTTCCAAGAACGTAAGAAAAGGGCAAACTTACATACGATGGATAATATTGTCAATAATGAGATCGATTTTGCTCACCGGTTTTGCCGCAAGAGCCTGATTCAAGGAATCCACAGTTGTTCTTTGCACATCAACAATATCCTCAAAAGTTTTCTATTTAAGAGAATCATCATGTTAAGAAAGCAAGACCAGATTTTTAGACAAATGCATTTACATACCAGGGCTGCAGTATGGCATGTACCTCTGTCACCTACAAAGGAGTCCCAAATTTCCCATCAGATTGTGAGGTCGCCTTTTGCCTGTAAATGATAGGTATACCTACCACAAAGGGTCCACCAAGGAACACAACCAAATGTCATTAGGCAGCAATGAGCACACCAAGTGGTAAAGCAACAAAGTGGTCTACATAATAGATGAATAGATCATGAGTACCATCATTATGGGGATTACCTAAAGACTATCCTTGAGACTTACCAGAGGCCACTGATGATGATGTGCATGCAAGTCGAAAGAAAGGGTGGATGATAGCGTTGGTGACGACAGCCTTGTTTATATGAGAGTGGGCGTGCGAATTGTGGTCATGATGAATCGAATTGATAAAGTGGTCAAGCACCATGGAGTACTGAGTGGAAGTGATGGAAAACCAGCAGCTGCTGATAAAATCCACCTGCGGCTTGAATGTAGGTGACATACGTATGTCCAATGTAAATATCATTGCAATGACCCATCCTCGTTTCTCATCCACAGCCTTACCTAACAACCCAGCTCCATGTTCTTCATTTCTCCATAATCATCGCGTTGTGCTGCTCCTTGTAAACAGCCTCGGTACGTGGCAGGCAGGCAGGTCTGCATATCAAAGAAAGAACTGGATATTGACGACTTCATCTTCAAGAAAAATGGTATCCATTGGTTGAGCAAGTCCTCAGTTGTAGTCGTGTTCATTGATCGCGTGTAAGGATCCATTTGCGTTGCACGTTACCTTATCGCATGGCAACAAAGAATGTACGACACCAACAGGAAGCTTTGACAAGCCCCACCAGCGATTTGCCATTGATAGCCACCCATGGACCGCATGCTAGCACAGTGTATCTCGTCCTTGGACAGCACGTTCCACTGATGGCGTTACGTGCGTAAGATGGAGAAGAAAAGGAGAGGTAAATAAAAGGCAAGCAGACCGAAAGATGTACAAGCGTACAAGTGCCCTGTGGCTCAAGTGTCATGTCATGTGTGTGTTGTAGGTTGCAGTATTTACAGCAGATGGATCACTCTTCCAACGCATTCTTTTTTCTCTTTCCTTTTCCATTTTCATTTTTTAGTTTCATTGTTTTATTGATCATGGTAAGCCAAGAGCATGCTATCATTTGTATTGTTGCCTTTTGATTCAACTTATCCATACTTGAGTATCCTAGGATACACCACCACCTGAGAGGGAAGGAGTTCCAGCAGGCACACTTTTGCCATCCATATCAACACCAGCATTTACCATGACAACACGACACCATCCTATGGAACCACGTCAACGTAGACACACTATAAATCGACCTGCCTCGATCCAAGAACAACTACCGGAAGCACATGATGAGGAACAGACATTTGAGCGTATCTCAGGAATCCTTTCGACTCTGTTACAGGAAGCCAACAATGCGGTGAATGCGGTCGAGTGTCAACAAACACCACGATGGATGCAAAAGAAGGGTCATGGTGATATGATGATACAGTCGCTGCAGCCCATTTCTAAACAAATCTCTCCTATCGACTTGCCGAGAAACGCCAATAACCTTGAGCAGCAGCAGCAGCAGCAGCAGCACAGTAATGATTGCGGCAATGACAGCACCAACAGCAGCAGTAGTAGTAGCACCACGACATCATCTTCATCACCTGAACTTTCTCCCTCATCACAATCATCATCCTCATCCACAACAAGTTTGGACTCTACGACTACCACCTTGCTTTGGAGGAAAGGATCTGCAACCATCAAAAACATCACTCATCCAACAATGAATTCATCGTCAGCACGATATCGTGGTGCACTATTACGTGGTTCGTTGGTGGAATCGTATAAGCGGCTTGATCATTCAATGGCTATGGTGGATTCATTATCGCGTGATCTTGCATCCTCGGATGAACAAGATGCAGCAGATGAGGACAAGCAACACAATGATGACGACCAAGAGACATCCATATTTGTGAATGGCAAGTCACCACCATCGTTTCATAATGAATCCAACAACAACAACAACATCACCACAACAATGGATTTACGATTATCGGCATTTTTGGTGGCGCCATTTTTACATTTCCCACAAGCATTGATATCTTGGGTATTTGATTCTTTATCCAACAACCGAGACTCGTCAAGCCATTTGACAGGCATGCTGGCATGGTGCTTCTTTTTCGCCTTTGCTAATATCATGGTGGATCAAGCTGCTGCTGGGTTACCGGTAACAAAGATGGGAAGGTATTCACGCAATGTACCAGTGCCAGGCTCTTATCATAGCAAGGTTCATCGTATTTCCTCCATTGAATGTGTATCAACAACAACATCCTCGCTCTTTCGTCGACGCAGTGCACGACGCGCAGTGGTGATTCCACGCCGATCGTCTATCTATAGAAAGTATTACAGCGGTACAACGACGAGATGGGTTTCTCCGACTATCATGCACCATGCAAAGACCATTACACCATGCAGAAGAATCAACAACAACAGCAGCAGCATACGTATGCATCCTTCCCATCGCCGTCCTCACTCTTTGGCCATCACACGTTCTCACACTCAACCTCCTCTTCTTGACATTACAATTTCTTCTCCTCTTGTTGCATCACCATTGATAACAACTTTGTCTTCGATACCTTCATCATCATCATCATCATCATCCTCTCTATCTACCACCATCACACGTAGAAACTCTTTTTAGCAATGTATAAAAGAAGAGACTATAAATACATGCGTATGCAAGCTCATGCATTTCATAATATCGATGGTGTCGTAACGAAATTGCTGGTATGATAATAGTAATAGATATGTACATTTCATTGTTGTTACAAGTGAATATGAAAAAAAGATGCCAAATAATGAATACTAATGGGGGCGGGGAGAGAAGTTGCTATGAGTTTCTCCTTTTTTGTGTCTCACGGGATCGAGTAGTATCAGCCGTCTCTTCAGGCACCGCTTGTAAAGCAGTTGGATCAAAAAAGGAGCCGGAGAGTGTTCGTGACCACCTCAAATCCAAACTTCCACCACCACCACGTTGTTGTTGCTCTGTTGATGAGGATGAAGATAAGCGAGATGGATTCTCGTTAGTTGTAGTAAGTACTTCACATGAGGAAGAGTAGTAATAATCTCCCCGTTCTTCGATGGTAGTAGTGTTAGTCGTATTTGATTGTTGTTGAAGCTGTTGCTGTTGACGACACCATCGACGAATACTTTTAGAGCTGCGAGCTACACGTTCTCGTACAATTTCAAAGGAATCACCACGACGAGTAAACCACTGAGACATGCGAGATGAGGGTGAAGGTGGGTCGTCGTTAAGCTCAAGCCAGCTATCCACTTCATGATCGCTTGGTAACGATAGGCTATGGGATCCAACAGTGGTTGCTGTGGCACATGTAAGCGGCGTAGGTTGCTGGGTTTGATGTTGACTTGTGTTGCTGCTGCTGCTGCCGGTAGTGGGTTTGATCATATCGTCGTCACCTCCTGTTGCTTCAAGAACACGCCATGGTACAGCTTCATCAAGTTGATCTTCAAGGAAAATGGGTGCTGATAGAATGGATGATGATGGGTGATTGGTAGATCGAGATCGTAAGGGTTGTTCTAACACGATATCTTTGAGTATGTCTCGATCATCCACCATGGTATCCGATTCGCTGGCACCAATCAAATAGGCTGTTGGCGAGTGTAACAATGTTGGTATGGATGACGAGTAGGATGCATTTTGCTTCATATCATCTGCTTTGGTTGCAGCACGAGCAGGTCGTTGAGGAGGTGCCTTTTCTACCTGAATAGCCGTATGTGCTGGTAAATCGGATGAAGGGGATTGATTTTGATGTTGTCGTACAGGCCATAGGTGATTAACAATCCATTTAAGATATTTGTTGGATGCGTCCTGTTGTGTCTTTTGTTGAGCCAATGGTGCGAGAGAGGCTGATGTGATGGTGTGTGGTAGGTTGAAATCGAGAACACCGTTATCGGCATATATCTCCCACGTTCGCTCGCTCGTTGTGCTCTGTGTTGAAATGCTGCGATGGATATTAGGATCATGTTGGTATCGTTTGATCAGGTCCCTATTTGCATAGCGTGTCAACAATAACAACAAAAACGGAGATCGAGGATGTGCTGATACGTTTTACCTTTTCAAGTGCTGTATGGCACTGGTAAATGCAGGATCAACAAGTAACCCAACAAGATTGAAGAATCCAGGAAGACCTTTGGTGGATACGCCCCACACATTCAATGGATAGCTGACTCTATATGGCAATATTAGGTTGAGTATACCGCATTTCGTTGACACGATGACCCACTTACTGCTTATTGTGGAACATGTAGATCTCTGATGCAATGAAGCCAAGTTGTGTAAGCAACGGTGTCATTGGATACAGCAAGATACGGCGAACGATGCGGCTAACAATATCATCACCAGGATCCTTTTCATGAAACTGGAAGCTGGCATCGCGTTTGAGCTTGATAACGACTATAAGGACCACCACGCTGCTGTACAACAAACAAACAAGTTGCGGCACAATATACGTTCCATATTCCCACATTTGCACGGTCGATGTTTGTGAAGCTATATACAACCCAAACATGCATGATAAGTGGATGTGAGAAAGAGCACTCAATGTTTGTTACTTACGCGTGTACCAGCATACTCCTTGTGCTGCGTCATATCCCAGTATGTTGGATCCCAGGGGTACCACAGCGGTGGTGATCGCAAGTAGAAAAGACACAATGTAGTACCTTCAAAGCACATGAGTTTGATGTATCACTTGCAAGATGATGGGTGTTTACCATTTCTCAAAAGCAGGGTTGTAATAACGATCTTGCAAATAAAGCCATTGTAAATTGAAAGCGATAGCAGTGGATAGAAATATATATTGATTCGTGAGCCAAATGATAAGGAAGGCGACTGTGGAGCATGTTGGTCCATCGTTGCCAACGAGTGTGTAAACGACAAGTGATATGGCTGAGACGAGATCGGTCATTGATATTGCTGCTGTGAGTCGTAGTGATACTCGATCGACAAATCGACGATCGTAAAGTCGCATAGCCAACAAGATAACAAGAACCGTGATTGCTGATACAATAGAAATGCTGTTGCTGACAAGATTGAGCAACCGTAGACTGTAGATCTGCCATCCCTCCTGGAAGCTTAAGTTGCGTACAGTCTCATCATCAGGCGTCACGTAATCAACCAAGAATAACACCATCCCAAAGGGAATAAAGATAAAGAGGTCACAAAAAGATGATGATGAAGAGAAGAGAAAGCGTGGAATCACACACCCTTTGTTGCATCCTGGTTGGAGAAAATCAAATTGGAGATCATCAATTGTATAGTATGCCTTGTTTGGGGGGCCGGGTGGAGGTGATTGTTTGTATGGGGGAGGAGTCAAAGCAATAATAGCATAGTAGGAGGAGGAGGAGATCGATCTCGGAATGAATGGTCCACACTTTTGTTCCTGCTTCCTTTGATGATGAAAAAAGACGCCATTGTAAAATGGATCTATTTTAGTATAATTGAGATCATTCTTTACGGAATCATAGCGGGTATCACTCACCATTCAGCATCGGAAAACATGAGGCCAAGATGCAAAGTTGATGGTGTTGAGGAGATAGTATGGTGTAGATAGCCAGGTGAACTTCCTTAACAAGCAATGGCGCGTGCGACTGTGTGCCTTTCGGTTCGGAAGGGGCTGTGCGCGGTGCATGTTAAACCTTATCTTTATGGAGAATATCCACTCCTCCTCTTCATTTTGCTCCTCGTTGGATTGGTTCATCATCATCTCCCAACAACAGCTAAACCCTGATACGTTTGGACTCTTCATCTCTTGCAGGGATTACGCCGCAATCTCCATCCGATTCTTCTCCCCTTTCCCTCCTGCGTCCCCATCTTGAAACTATTACTATGCAGAAACTTGAGTAGATCCAATATAATCAAGGTATCATGCCACGCCCACAATTGCTTTATTCACCTTGGTCTTCGCTCATCTGCATGCTTTTAGTCGAGTGCATAGAGATGCATTCTCTTCGTCTTCAACGTCGATCAATAACTGTTTTCTTTCCCAATCAGCTGAATACATATGAATCTGACAACGTTGCGTAGCATTTTTCCTCGACAACAATATTGAAGCATGGTGGATACAAAAATGAATAAAATCATGTCGTTTATTGCATTGTATGTGAATCTTCTTGCTTTGTTGGTGGTATACGATCCATATCGCCCTCTGTAAACTCCGTGTTCATGGCTTTGATCCAATCGATCTCGATGCTGAATGGCCCTTCTTTGCGATCCGTTAGAGAAAGACCCACTGTCTTGACCTTTTCACGGAACATCTCCACTTCATCTTCTTGAATCATGCCGTTATTCGTTAAAACAAAGTCGCGAAAAGGGATCTATGTAAAAAAAAGTATCGTCCCCCTGTTATTGATCATCCCGAGCCATATTTTCCTTTCTCTCTCTCTCTCTCTCTTTTTACTTACCAAGACCGTCTCCCATTGCCCTGGTGTCCTGAGAAACAATCGATGTTGATATAAATCGGTCTGGATGACGCTGTCGGTTTGAATGTTGACAAAATATTTGCGTTGATCGCCTCGCACTCGAAGAGCCAGGTATCGGAATAGACTGGTGTCCCAACATGGTGTACCAAACATAGAGGTTTCTCGTGCCTGTAAAGTTATAGCATTAGCATCACCCTTGGTTGGGATCCTAGTTGGCTGGTTCTCACTTTGGATCGAATAGCAGCATATCCGCTTTGTTCAATATTACGATCGGCTGGTAGCTCGAGTGAAATGTTGCCATGGAAACGGCCTGTACCCTCTGGCGTAATGTCGAGTGATGCAGTAGAGAAGCCGCCAATATCCTTGTCACTGCCAATCGCCCACTGATCGAGATCGGCCTTCGTGTTTAGTTGTACCATGGGCAATTCCTTACGCCAACCCTGAAGACCTTCCATGCGTAGTGCTATGCAGTGTTTGCCATGAGAATGAGTGACAATGAACGAGAGTATGTTCATGTACAAATGACCTACCCTTTGCACTCGACTCGGCGACTTCGGTGGCCGTGCGACGGATGAATGAAAACATGTGTGGAAGAGAGAAACAAAGCACAAATGACAGCTGGGCTGGGAAATTATTCTTATGCAATGACAGCACCTAGTTTTATGACAATGAGCATCCCTATGTAACCACCACCCTCAATCATCACTGAATAACACCGAGAAAATGACACAAAGGATATTGTATCGACCATGAAAATCCTTTTATTACATATACGTCATAAACAATGAGCACCATTTCATTCAAAAGTTTGGGGGTATTTGATACAATGAAAATGAACCATTGATAGAGCGTGCTCCTGTAGCGTCTACTCGAAAGTTGTCATTACACTTACTTATTGATGATCCCTTCATGACATCCACCTTCATCATCCTAAGCTTACCTTATTCAAATATGGCATCAGGCATCAATGCGACACGTACGTGCAGGTCCTTTTTTCATCCAAGTCTACTGCTTATTGCTCCCTTGTTATGTGCTCCATGAATAAAGGATAGCATAGCATACATACCTTATCAATGGATGATTTGAAGAAGGATATAAGCATCGGCGGGATGATGCTGCAGGTCGTGTGTGTAACCTAAAGCTGCTTGCTTCAATTTGACTGTAGTAGTAGTAGTAGAGTGCTTTTTTCATTATCTGACACACCTCTTTCAACTCCATGTCACGCCATGGCGACAACGATCGTCCCACGATGACCCCAATGAACGAGCCACCTCTCTCAGTCTACGTTGATTATACCCCTCGACGCACGCGCGTATTCAACCCGACGAGAGCCGATCCTCTGCATGACCATTCTCTTTCACGACAAAAGCGAGCTGAATACTTCCATCGGCTAGCACAACAGGAACCCGACGATGACAACGGCAACGTGATGGATTCACCTTCAGTACGTCGATATCATGGTGTCAGTGCAACCGTCAAACCTGTGGAAGCAACCTATGATCCATCCAAGGGAGAAGCATTGTCTATGGATGATACAACAAGGACACGCACATGGACTATCGCAGACTTTGAAGTGGGCAAGCACCTTGGCAATGGTCGATTTGGAACTGTATACTTGGCAAAGGAAAAGTCAAGCGAGCAACTCGTCGCTCTCAAGATCATCAAGAAACAAGAAATGGAGGCAGCCAAGATTGTCTCGTTCCTTCAAAGGGAAATCGAGATCCAAGGTCATCTACGGTAACGATTGCCACCATAAGATCATTTGACTTCAAAGCTAATCCATACATTCTCCAAGACATCCAAACATCCTACGACTATACGGATACTTTCATGATGAGGATAACGTCTATATCGTTTTGGAATACGCTGAAAAGGGTGCGTTGAATAACGTGATCCAAGAACACAGCTGTCTATCTGAGAAAAATGCAGCCAAAGTAAGTGATACACTGACAACATTTTTACACTCTTTACCAACGGTTTATCTTCTTAATAGCTCATGCTTCAAGTCATCAGTGCCCTTAAATATCTACATGCATTACGTGTGATCCATCGAGATATCAAACCCGAGAACTGTAAGATGCCTATTTATCGGTGATGTGAGTATTGAGCTGACTATTGCCGTTAGTGTTGGTCGATTGGAAAGGACGCTTAAAGTTGGCAGATTTTGGATGGGCAGTGCATGATCCATGGCCAAGGTAGGTGTTTTCATTTTTCTTTTTCCTTGCAATAGCATGTCCCATTGATCATCTTATCTAGGCGGCGTACATTCTGTGGCACGCTTGATTACCTTTCACCCGAAATGGTTGAAAACAAGACACATGATGAACGAGTTGATGTATGGGCTATTGGTATATTATGCTATGAGATGCTGGTTGGCTACCCGCCGTTTGAAACGGAGCATGATGATTATGCGGAAACCTATCAATCCATTGTTGGAGTACGTTACACATTTCCAGAGCATCTCAGTGCGCAGGCAAAGGATTTCATATCTTCGGTAAGCTGAAAATTCAATGGCCATTCATCCTTCAGCATGCTCAATACATACCATTCTTAGATCTTACAAAAGGAACCTTCCAAAAGACCCAAACTTGTTCAACTAGAAAAGCACCCCTGGCTTAAAGCACACACCACCCAATCCTAATGTAGCAGATGCTTGTTCCCTTTGTATATGATGATTTAATGACAAGAAATGTCTATTTACATGATAATTTGGGGTTCGGTAATGTTGGCTGAGATGCCCTTGTGTGGGAGAATAGAACCGCCATTCACATAGATTTCGTCTTTGATCGTCACATCATCACCAAGGACTGAACAACCTTCCAATCGTGACTAGATAGCAATGGTAGTTAACATCCATGCTCATACAAACATGATTATGCACTTACCCAACGACCCACAGAAGAGTGCCAGCCAATGATGGTAGATTGAACCCAGGCATAATCCTTAACCTTGGCACCTTGGAGTACCACACATCGCTGAAGACGAACACCATCACCGATTTCAACGTTGGGACCAATTACCACGTTGGGGCCAATACGACAACCCTTACCAATCTTGGCAGTTGGATGCACCATAACATTGCCCTTATGCACATAATCCAAGGTGGGGTTGGCGAGAGCTTCAGGGTTCTTTTTGGAAAGGTGGCTCAAGTACAAACAAGTGCCGGTCAAGAAGTCCTTTGGTTGACCAACGTCCATCCAGAATCCTTCAAGATCAAATGTGTGCAATTGGCCATCTTGTGCCACAAAGGGGAAAACTTCCTTCTCGATGGATGTGGGCTTCAGCTATATATCATTGTTAGTATCCAATGTATTCCATCTATCATAAACCTTATCAACTCACCTCGATACGATCCAAAACCTTGGGACTAAGAACATAGATACCAGCATTGATCTTGTTGCTGATAAATTCCTTGGGCTTTTCAACGAATCGTTCAATTTGAGAGCTCTCTGGACGATTGACAATGACGCCATATTTTGAAGGATCATCGACCTTGGTGACCTAGGGTATACATCAATGGAGATTAGCAAGAGGATAGATACAATCATGTACAAGGACATACCACAATGGTGCCTTCACATCCATGTGCAAGGTGGAAATCTCTGAGTTGTTCGAAAGGATAGTCGCAAATGATGTCGCTGTTAAGAACAAAGAATGGGCTGTCGTCCTTGCCGAGGATCTCGCGTGCTAATGCAAGTGGACCAGCTGTACCCAAGGGTTCCGTTTCAACAGAGAATGTGATAGTGACACCAAATTCCTTTTCATATTGCTTAAGTGCAGCAACCATGATCTCCGGGCGATAGTTGACAGCAAGGACAATATCAGTAACGCCAGCCTATATCATAAACGCGTATGAATGAATATCCATTCTACAAGATTCAGGGACAAACATACCTTGGCAAGGCTTTCAATTTGATGCAAGATCATGGGCTTATTAGCAAACTCGACAAGAGGTTTGGGCAAAGTGAGAGTAAGGGGACGAAGACGAGTACCAAAACCTAGATGATGAGACAGCCATGAGCATCTGTAGCTGCAATGGGGTTGCATGAGTCGTCTACAACTTACCACCGACAAGAATGAGTGCTTTCATAATGTAATGTATGTGTTAGATAGAGGATAAAGAGAGGGAATAACGTGAAGAGGGGCGAATATTGGAAAAGTTAAGGAGAGTAAAGCAGTAAAGGAAATGCTGTACTCGGAGGATGGATCGCTTGACCTTAGTCTTCTCCCGACCAATAAAAGACACTCTTGGACAACGCGCCTTTTTGCTACTCCTTTCCGCCGACAATCTGGTCATGAGCGATGCTTTGGCACAGACACTCGATCAGCTACAGAATCGTCTTTCAAAAGCACAAGCACAACTACGACGAGCAAAGAAAACAGTAAGCTTCCATATTCTTTTTTCTATTTTTCTATATCCCTTTTCCTTCTAATACCCCGTGTGACAAAAAGGCCGAAGCAAAACGCGCAGTATTACTGGACTCCCAGGACGTGCTTAGTCGCGAGTTGAAGGATGCATTTACCATGGATATGATGCCGAAACGAAAACGGCCACGTATTGCACCACCTCCTGGATTAGTATCTTTATTGCCGGCAGCACCAACATCATCATTCTATACTTCTATCAACGATCATGATGAGCAATTGCAGCTAAACACATGCCAACCTATCATCCAATCTTGCACACTTTGGGCTCATGAAAATGGCGACATTGCTTGGATTCGTGCTATCGTTGAAAATCCATCATCATCCACCTTTTATCGCGTTCACCTTGCATTATCAACAGGCGCCCAATGTTTATTACCACAAACGATCCATCGAAACACTATTCTTTCGATTCCTGGAGGAAAGTCGGCAACATTATACGCCTCTTTTACAATGCTCGATGATGTCTTTTTGCATCAACTCACCGATTGTTTGGATGTAAGCTGTCACTATATTTCAAAGAACGCCGAATTGCATTCCAGCGAGCCGGTACAACCTTTATGGGAAACAATGAATAGCCCTGCACCAACATGGATAAAGTCAGGGGTGGAACGAGGTATGATTCTCATCAACAATCAAAGTAGAAATATGAATATACTAAAATGGTTATAGAGCTTCATGTGCTTTTCAGGTCACGTGCATCCATGTCGGTCAAAGAAGATCCCATGATGGTGTTGGACGAAATCATTAAGCTGCTTGATTTGCAACGTAACACGGTAAGAGTGATATGACTTTAGAGACCGATGGGTTTATTCATACACCCCTTTCTCTTTAGGAAACCTCGCTGCTATATACCCCAGATCAGCAATTGGTGATCCATCCAATCGAGAGCAACCTTATTCATATGTACAGCATAACGGATCGTGTTCTTGCCAAAGCTATCGACAAGTTGAAAAGGCATTCCATGGTAGAGAATGTAAAGTATACTCACCCACTTCCTGTGGAGCATGACGTGCGTGATTTATTGGTCGCGTTGCAAGATGAAATCGGTTACATGGAAAGCATTGATTCAAAGGAAGACAAGGATCAGCAATTGTTGGCTGCCCGAGAAAATACGCTCACGTTATTTAACACCATCCTACAAACGCGTACATCCCATTTCTTGTAAATTTATACTACATAAAGCATTTGTAAATATACATTTTCCATCATTCTGGTTCATATTGCAAGTTCAATGCCATGCCCTGTTCATCCGTTTAAACACCCATCCACTTCCTTAGACCATGAAGTTAAGTCAACAGCTGTATGGGGTCACATACGATCCCTCTATGAGTATACAATGCGGCAAATGATGGTATATTGTGTTTCATTCAAGCAATGCGTGTACAATCTATTACTACAGAGCATATGTATAGAGGTGTGTGTTGTTCAATGTGTCATGGTCCTGAAGGCTTCAAGCACTCGCTTTGCACCACCACCTTTGATACTTTCACGTGCCTTTGCAACACCATCCTTGAAATCCGATGCAATTCCACTGACAACAAGCAACGCTGAGGCATTGAGTAACACAAAGTCAAGAATAGGATCATTTTCGGGCAATTCGTCGTTCAAAAGACTTTGTAGGATCGTTGCATTGTGTGCACCATCTCCACCCTTCACTTCAGATAAGGGATGTGTTTGAAGACCGAAATCATGAGTAGGATGAAGAACGCCTGTAACAACATCACCGCCGTTGTGTACTCGCCAGTACTATACACGTCTTATGAGCTTATCATTCTTTCTTCCAATAACCAAAAAGCCACTTACATGTGTTTCTCCAGCAGGGCTGATCTATGAATATCAAAAATTGAAACGGGTTAGTCTCAGCACAATGGTTCCCAGCCACCCATAATGAAACAATGACCCTACCTCATCCAACTTTTCTGCACCGCATACTACCAAAAGCTCCTTGATACCCGTCAATTTCAATGCGTTTGCCATCAAGGCACCCACTTGAGGAGAATGAACGCCAACAACGACACGGGATGGTTTGGCAGGGTTGCTCATGGGACCCAGTAAATTGAATACAGTGGGGACACCAATCTCCTTTCGCAAAGCAGCGACCTGTTTCATGGCTGGATGATAGGTTTGTGAAAAGAGGAAACAAAAGTTGGTCTTGTCGAGTATATCAGGAACTTGATGTGGCTCCACTTTGCTGATATGACATCCGTGTGCTTCCATAAGATCCGCTGATCCCGATCTAGATGATGCTGCTCGATTACCATGCTATGAAAAAAGAGTATCGTTAGAGAAAAAGCTTCCTTGGTTGAATGATGATGATGATGATGATGATGATGTTACATACCTTGGCTACCTTGGCACCTGCACCTGCAGCAACAATGGATGCGGTCGTTGATACGTTGTATGTGTCGTGTCCATCACCACCGGTGCCAACAATATCCACAACGTTGCCTTCAAGGTGTTCGTAATGGTTGTATGGAATAAGACGAGCATGGCTTTGCATGGCTTGTGCACAAGCTGCTACGATGGATGGGTCCTGATCCTTTTGTTGTAGGCGAAGGGCGATCAGGAATGCTGAGACTTGGCTGTGAGTTGCTGAGCCTTGCATGATGGCATTGATGGCGACTGTGGCATCGTCTGGTGAAAAGTGTTCGGGATTGTGGATCAGGGTCTTTATGATGTCCTTCATGTTGGCGGGTCGAGTGGGAGGAGGTGGTAGTGGAAAAGAATGAAAATTATCCTTGAAAAGTGATCAGTCACGGAGATTATCTTCCCTTCTGCCACAAAATATGCGTCCGTGCGCCTGTGGTGACAAGACATGAGTCATGGTAAGAATGTTGTCAATGTAACCAACACATCAAATGACCCCAATGGCTCATTATTGCTGTTCATTGTATCGTCTACTTTCATTCTCTCCCCTAATTTATGGTCTTCTTTGTCCTTTTGATTATCATCAACCAGTTGTCGTTCCTGATTTGACAATCTACCATCGATGGTATCACTTTCAACCAATCATCATCCATTCATGCACCCATCCATAAGCCTGGATTCCCTTTTTCAACGAGGTTTCTCAATAAAGAGCACAAAAGACAATGACCTTTTTTATATTCAAACTCACGGCACAATCATTCTGGTGATCCTCTTTTATTCTCTATCGCAATCTTCGTGTAACGCTGGATGACCCTAGGTTGGTGGTGAGGCTTAACATGAATCGGGGATCCATTTTCCCGTGTAGTACTAATGGCTGCTAATTCACGCGATCAGGCTGAAGCACATCATGTTGTATAGTCTAGCAGCTGATAACAATTAAAAATGGCTTAAAACAAAGGAGGCACGTGTTTTGGGTTCAATAATGCAAGCAGCAAGGTTTTAATGTGGTTGGACTGAGGTAGGACAGCTGTTTTGTGCAAAAGTAGGCTCGATTGTGATCTCGTTCTTTTGAGAGCTTTTCTTTTTCTTCATGTAGAACACATCATGGGTATTCCTGTAGAGGGAAAAGTCTTATCATATATATACATCCTGTGTTCAGATTGCGTAAGCAAAATCAAACACACGCTAAGCATCATCTGCTCTTCGTGAGAAGTTGCATCAACTCACACACGCATATGGTACATGCACATGCATTAAAAAGTGTGAGGGTGCTACGATATAAACCAATATGGACAATGAACCGCTGAGCAGCAACATGGCCATTGGACAAGAAAAGCAAAATGACACAGGTACCAGGAACAATGCATTCTCTATCAATCGGCATTTTTGTAACCGTTAAACAAGCGTGGCAAATAGTTCACTGTTTTACCGAGATATCGGGTGGGTCACTTGTGTTTCATTACAATCATGTTCTCACATTATTCATTTTCATTGCCAAGACGATAACAGCTTTTTGGGAAAACTTTGCATGCCAACGACTTGCAAAACGCTGTACATGAAACCCTTTACCACTTGTTAATGTTGCTTGAAGGGGTCAAACAAAAAGAAAGGAAATCCACAAAGGAGAAAAGATGCCGTTTGTGAGAGAGAGCTGAGAAGGGTGATCTTCGTGTGTGTGATGATGGCTTTTTACTATTCTCACTCAGCCACGTTCATCTTACATGGGGGGTATACAGAATGTAGAATCTGATTTCTACTCACTCTGCAACGATCAAGTGACCAATACTGTCAGAATTTACAACTTTGGCTGTAATTCCGCGCAGCACAGGTGGTACAAAAAAGCGAAAGTAGGTTTGTACTTTTCCGCTATCCCCCACACACGGGCATTTTTACGCTCCTTCATAGGCCCGCCCCACATCAATATAGCCAACTAAATAGCGTGTGTGGATATCCCAGACGACATGTCTGATTTTTCTCCTCTGGAATACATGGAAATCAGCTGAAGAGGCCTAGCAGTGAGAACAAGGGTCCATTTGTCTCATCAACCCACCCAAATCTCAGACCTACCTTTGCCTGATATGGTTTGCTCCACGACCACTTTGTGGTATCAACCTTGTTTTTTTTTCTTCCAGCTTCTTTTCATGGAAATCATCGGCCGTTTTCTGTGTGAGTGTGTCAGCAGTGACATCATAGCGTGCAACCGCCCTCTGATGATGTTGCGGGTTCTTCCTCATTGATCAAAGACCAAATCCAAGACAACACATAAGCACATGTATGTATGTGTGTGAGTGTGTGTGAATACACCAATCGTCATTCGTATCCATTGCTTCAACCCCCACCCTCTCTCTTCCCCCGCTCATTGTTGTCCCTAAAGTTTTCTACCACCATGCGTAAAAAAGAGGGCCGTGCATCGTCCCCCATGTTGACTTTATCAATGCTTACATGATCCTGACGTCGTGATCATAGCAACTTGTATAGAATCTTTGCTGCAACATGTACATCACTCACGCTAAACTCAATCGGTATACCTGCTGTTGCGTGTGTTTTTCTGCAATGGGGTGATCAGTGAGGGAAAAAAAGACCATCGAATTGGCGGCGACCAATCATACGAAACATACAATCGGGAATGGGCAAAATGTTTCCATCAGTTTCTTGTATCCGGAAAGCACCTTTTTCTTGTTGCTGTTGGACCAAACATGCATGAGCACTAACAGGGGCTCAGCCTCTCACGAGACTGAAGAAAGGATGGGAATCCATTGAGACAAAAGAAAATGAAAAAAAGGAGGCGAGGTGAGAAAAAAAAACAAGTTGTCGATTAATGCAATGGCCATTTTGGCCATCATCATGCTTTAAACAAGAACACACACAACCATTTTCTACGAACTTTGCCCGTTGATCGGCTATATTTTCCGGCGACTCGATTTTGTGTCGGGGGAGGGAATATGGGTGTACACAGCAGTGCACACACACATCACATGGAACACCAGCACACAAGAAGATCAGACAGAAACATGTACACATACACAAGCTGATGGCTTGTGTTACTATCACCTTTTTGGTAGGACATTTCCTTGAACGGCGTTGTCCTTTTTACTAAAAACGATTTTGAAAAGGATCGTTACATTGGGTACAGGGTGGCGAACGACGTACTACCCCTATTAGTGGAAAATCGTTGAGCATCATGGCAATGTGTATTTCATCATCCTTCCAGAAAATACTCCACATCCATCATCCCCGCTTTTTTGTTTCTGATCCATTCGCCGATAGGATCCCAGAAGCAGGTACAGGCGGGCAATTGTACCTGCTGTAAGAGTGATACCTCGTATTGGTGGGGAAGACGCCCCGCGTTATTACAGCCAACCATGAACCACCATTTGAACAGCGATATGCTATACTCTATATGGAAGAATTTAGCCTTTAAAAGTGGGGATAAATCAGGGCAAAAAAAGCATCTTCATCCCGTAACTTGCTTCTCCAAAGAAAAAATAAACCATGGGCGTGAAGAAGTGGTTCACGACTTTACCCGAGTTTGGCATCCAAGGTGGCAAAAAGCTGCGTGGTGTCTACTTGAACAAAGCTATCGGCTTCGTCGCTGGTGCTGGATTGTAAGCATGATTTAGTTATCCATGTGCCCATTAAATGATTTGATTGACCTTTTTATCCTTTGTGTAGTCTGTGAGTAAACGAGCAAATACGCAAAGCTGACGACTTTTTTGGACGTCGAATACTTATTGTCTATTGTATAGCATGTTTGGTTATGACCAAGGTGTCATGAGTTCTTTGCTCACGGTGAGTAGCAGTGTTGCCATGAGGATGGTGATGGTTACGAATAAATTGGTTGCCATGGTGCTGACCTATACATGATTTCGATTTTCTTTGTTCTTTTTTGCAGCTTGAGGAATTCGAAAGACAATTTCCTACAGCCACACCCTATACTCCATCTGATCCTGTTTGTCAAGACCCTACTCAATGTACTGGTACTCCAGCTTTACAATCGGTATGCATGGGCGGGGATATGATTTTATTGATATCATTCGAGAAACTAACTTTGACTTTTATCCGATTCAAGAACATGGTGTCCATTTATCAAATTGTAAGGCAACATTGAGCTGCATGCATGCATATGCGGCAAGGGAAGACTGATCATGCTCTACGATAGGGATGTCTTTTGGGTGCAATCTTAATTCTCTTTGTTGGTGATGCTCTTGGTCGTCGTGTCTCCACCTTTTGGGGAACTGCTATCATTATTGTAAGCATCATCCCATGTCATTCATTCCCTCTCATGCTCTCACGCTCACTCACCTCCTGTTCTAGGCTGGTACAATTATTCAAGCTGCTGCCAATAGCTATGGTTTGCTTTGCTTTAGCCGTATCTTCACCGGTATCGGTAATGGCATGGTCACGAGTACAATTCCCACCTGGCAAAGTGAATGTGCCAAGCCAAAGGATCGTGGTTATCTAATCATGAATGAAGGCATGCTTATTGGCTTTGGTATCATGATTTCATATTGGATCGATTATGGCTTCTATCATACCACAGGTGAAATCCGCTGGCGCTTCCCTGTTGCTTTCCAAGCCTTCTTTGCTCTCGTTGTCATTTCCGGTATTCTTGTCCTCCCCGACTCCCCTCGTTGGTTGCTCAAAAAGAACTACGTCGAAGAAGCCCGTGATGTCATTGCTCGTCTCAATGGTGTCGATGTCGATTCAGAGCAAGTTGCTGAAGACATTGCTATCTTGGAACACACTCTTGCTCTCGAAACTGAACGCTTCTCATGGCGCGAATTCTGGAGACATGGTCGTGTACAGCACTTCCGTCGCATGTTGCTTGGTGTCATTGCTCAAGCTATGCAGCAGTATTGCGGTAAGTGAAGGAAATGAGTGTATGTATATCATATGCACAATGCTGATCGTTTCTTGGTGCAGGTATCAACCTTATCACTTACTATGCCACCATTCTCTTTGAGCGATCGTAAGTAGGAGACTCTTTTCTTGTATGCATACATTTGTACTCATTTTGCTTTCTATAGTCTCGGCTTTGATGCTTCCATGTCTCGTCTTTTGGCTGCCGTAAACGGTACCGAGTATTGGCTTTCAGCTGTTGTTGCCATGTTTTGTGTCGAGCGATTCGGCCGGTAAGTTAACATGGAGATTGTATCATACATAACAACGATAACTGACACATGTGCTTTTTCATCTCTTATAGTCGCAGGCTCATGTTTGTGGGTCTTGTTGGTATGATGTGCTCCATGGCTGTTCTTGCAGGCTGTATTTCATCTGGTGGTCGTGATGCTGAAGGCAACATTGTATTGGCCGAAGCTGAAGGTGATGTCGCTACCTTGACACTTTTCACTTTCAACACCTTCTTTGCCATTGGTTTCCTTGGTATGACTTGGTTGTATCCTGCTGAAATCAATCCTTTGCGTACTCGTGTCCAAGCCAACGCATTGTCCACTTGCTCCAACTGGTTGTCCAACTACGTCATTGTCATCCTGTCAAGATGGCTCAAAAGATGCCCAAGTTGGAAGGTGCTGCATTGGAACGAGAACTCGCCCGTTACTTTGATGATGGCAGCAGTGCTGAAGGCTCTCAACAAGATATGGAGAAGTCTGCACCACCAGCAACATCTTCTGCTTCTGACGAGAAGGTCGAGGCACCTTTATCAGACACCAAATGAAATGAATTGTACCTTTAGCTACATATACTACCTTTATTCTTGTAAACAATCAAACTAATATATCATCTTAACGACTTCTACTTAATTGTATGTGGAGGGTTGCTACTGTTGCTATGGTGCATACGATTATGGGAATTGCGAAAATCGAAATGAATTCTCGGCACTCCTCCTTCTCCTCCTTCCACAAGTTCACAGCCTTCTTGCAATGTCGTCGCCTTTGGCAGCCGTTGCTCAATTCTGCGCTACTGCAACTATCAATCGGAACAAGCATGCTTGCTGTCAGCTAATCGCCCGGGCGGCTTCTCATGGTGCCAAGGTAAGAGTTGCTTTCCATGAACAAGTATGCAGCAGTAGTGGTAACGCGACCATTAGATGATCTTTCTCCCCGAAGCATCAGACTTCATTGCAGGATCGACTCCCGAGGCCTTGTCGTTGACAACGAGTATAGAAGATTCAGAGTTTGTCCAAGGGGTGCAACAAAGTGCGAAAAAGGAACGCATGTGGGTGTCTGTCGGCGTGCATGAAAAGGTAAACTATGGTAGACTATGATGCGTGTGAAGGATACTGTAACCAATCAAACCTCTTTTCTAGAGCTTATCATCTACGCGCATTTTCAATACCCATTTGATCATTGATGACCAAGGCAGCATTGTCTCCACATATCGCAAAATGCACCTCTTCAATGTCGATATCAAAGATGGTCCTCGGCTTTTGGAAAGTGAGAGCACTCAACAAGGTGACGCTATTGTGGATCCAGTAACAACACCTTTGGGTCGTGTGGGGCCCCAGATTTGCTATGATTTACGATTTGCTGAGCTTTCGATTGCACAGCGGCGACGAGGTGCTGATATTTTGACGTTTCCAAGCGCCTTCACAGTCAAGACTGGAATGGCACATTGGGGTAAGTGGATTTGAACAGATAAAGAGAACAAGGGATTGATCCATGTTATGTAGAGCCTCTTTTGCGCGCGCGTGCTATCGAGACACAAACCTACGTAATAGCTGCAGCTCAAGTGGGTCAACACAATGAAAAGAGGATCAGCTATGGAAACGCCATGGTGAGTCTGTGTAACATGGATACCGATGCGTTTCATCCCAACGCATGAGCATTGACTTTTTTTCTTTTCGACTAGATTGTCGATCCATGGGGAACGATTCTAGCACGGTGCGCAGATACCACATTACCTACCTTGGCCATGGCACCTATAGACCTTGATTACTTGAATAAGCTTAGAATTGAAATGCCTGTAATGGATCATCGTAGAACAGACATGTATCCTTGTATCCAATAGCTGCTGAAGTTGAAACATGCATTGAATACCTTTTCCTCCTCTCCTTTTTTTGACACGCTACCTTTTCCTCTTTCTTTTTTACTGCTCTTTGTTCTCAAGGATACCTGTTCTCAGTACCATGTCGGATGAAAATGAAATGATTATCGTTGACGATGACTCGCCTCCACCATTGGATGATTTAGCACTTGACGACCTTCCTCCACCATTGTCATCATCTTTATCACCGTCAACACCTGTACCTATTCAAAGTTCACGTTCCAAAATTGCTGAGCTGGTCACGAAAATGACATGCAAACATCGAAAGAACAAGCGTCAACCTGGAGATGGCATGTCAGAGCTCGACGAGGATGATGATGAGGATGAGAGCGACGAGGAACTTGACACTTCGAGCTCCACTAGCAGCAGTGATGGCAACATGACAGATGACGTTAATAGCATTGATACGGATGATCTGCTTGAAGAGGCTGATGAGCTACCACCGTTACGAAACAAAAAGGTCATCGTGTCAACGAGAAGAGTGGTTGCTATGCTCAACAAGACGCGTGAAAAGAAGCTTCGGGCATTGAAACAAGCCAAAACCAAGGCCAAGAAACGCGATAACGAGGTAGCGTGGATGAGCCCTACATCAAATGACTACCTTCTCAATTTCCAAATATGGTTTATTAGCTCCTCACAGCATTGTTGCTACGACCCCCTCCACGCAGGACGCGAATCCAAGATTATCAATATGATCCAGCTGCCGTTGAAGAGCTTGCCAAGCAGTACCCTGATTCATATTGGCAATTTCATGCCGACAGAGAATTCCCGATGGTGGATGTGATTAATGAAAAGTACCCGGTGAAAGCACTTAATCAAAATTTGGGTGATCATGGTACGTGTGTGTTGCTTATGCTGGTTCATCTTATGGCCTTCTAACCATCATTTTACCAGGACCTGTTACTGCTATGACCTTGTCACCGGATGGGGTAATTTTGGCTACATTTTCAAGTACGGGTGCGATCCAACTTTGGGACATTGCAGACAATTTTAAGCTTTTGAGACGCATACGAGATCATGGAGAAACGCAGATTGAGGAATTCTATTGCGGCAAGTTTTCGAATGACCAAGAATTGATCGTGGCGGGTGGTAAACTCAAGAATCGATCTGTATGGTCATCCCAAGATGATGACAACCACATTTTGCCGTGTCCGATAAAGGCAAGTATCAAACAAGCTATTGCTAATAATGCCCTTGACTAATTTCATATAACGTACTATTAGATTTTTAGCGTGGAAACGGGCAACCGAGTAGGACAATTGGATGGACATGCTGAAGAGGTTTTATGCATCAAAGCCGTGTCGTTCAAGGGCAAGAACTACTATCTCAGTACAAGTCAAGATGGCTATATTATCAAATGGCAAATGGATCAAGATTGGATGTGAGTCAATGCTTGCTTGCTCTTACATTGTCGTCCACGCTAGTCTAATAGCTCAACGTACTTGTTATAGTACGCTTGTAGATTCGATCTCCATGGACGACGGGTTGACATGCATGGCATTTACAGTGTCCTTTGTACCCAATACGGGAAACAAGTTATTTATGGCAGCATGTGATGCGCACCTACGGCTGTATGATTTCGAGGAAGCTCTGGTATGCTTTTTTTGTATTCGCAATGTCTTTGACGACCGGGAGTAACGTGCATTGCTATAGCTACTCCAAACATTCGAAGACATTTATTCCTCATATTGCGATTGTGGAAAATTCGTACAATGGCTCGATGAGTCTGATATGGAACAAGATGTCACTACCGCCGAGAAAGCCAACGACGATAGCAAATCAGATAATGCCAAAGTCGAGCAAGCTGATGACCAGCAAAAGGACAATGACCACCAAGAAAACAAAGAAAAAGGATCACCGGAGGATCAAAAGGAAGCATCCAAACAACAGCATGCATGGTTCATTAGTCGAGGAGCTGAAATATGCGATGTCGGTGAAGGGCTGTGTACGTATACTATATTTTTGGATAACGTTTCATTTCATTGTTTTGACTATCTTGTTACTAGCATCCATCCCTAATGTTTGCACATTGCATAAGCTCCTCTTTCCTTCAGAAACGGGAGGTCGATTTCAGCTGGAACGAGTCAAGAGATATGGCCATGAGGAGTAAGTCGATCGATATTATAGGGTGCATTCAGGCTCATTATAACACAACACACATTCAGCTACCATGCGAATTCCTGGCTTGTGAAAATCACCACCAACGGCCGATATCTACTAGCCCCAACTATTTATGGTCAACTATTTGTATTCAACATGCTAACAGGGCAAGTAACAGCCGTCATAAAAGAGCACGAAGGTAAGCATTGAATGACTTTTACAACCCAACAACAAAGACCTTATCATTATTCTGTTTATAGACCTTGAAGTACGTGATGTCATTTTCCATCCCTACCGACCTTTGGTGTTTTCTTCTGGAGATGGTAATTGTTTTAATAGGCAGCAATTGTGGCAGGGGGAGGAGAGAAGAAAGGCAAGGTATTTATATACAACTTTGTAGATGGGTATGTCAAGGTATACACATTCGAGGAGGGAGTTACATAGCGATCATTTCTCGATATCCCTTGTTATAAAGAAATGCTTTAATGCTCTTTACCTTTGTTCCGGATCAGTGTTTCTGTGATGTTTCAGGTTCTTGGCGGTGGTGAAAGGGCTATAGAGCTTTTCCATCAGATCATCTGGGCTGGTCTTGCATAATTCTCCTAGCACAGCGTGGCGATCTGGTGCATCGGTTTCTTCAGATTTGTAGATGGGCGTATCGCTATTAATATCATCGGTTGGATCATGGATGGGGATAATTGATCGCTTGTAAAGATGTTGACCAGGATGCCGAATGGGTGGTAGAATAGGTGAAGATGAGGAGGATACGATTTTGTACTTTGATAGGGCATCATTCTCGGCGCTGTCTTCATTCATCTTTGCCATTAGGTGCACGTCATCGCTTGAGTTCTTGGCGGTGGTGGTGTAGGAGGAGGAAGAGGAAGGGCCAGGTGTAGTAGTAGACGTAGTAGCATCATCCATGCTCTTGCTACGATGAACAAAGTCCACTGATCCTTATTTCAGCCAATGAGATCATAATAAACATCCAATTGCCATACCTGCAGTAGGTGATGGTGAAGCTATAGAAGATGTATATCCTCGTTAGGATGATGGCAAGGTAATCCAACCAGGGTAGCTTACCTTCAGCACTGCGATGGCCACTTTTATTCCCACAGCTGCATTTGATATGCATCTTCTTCTTCACTCGAAGCTCCCTGCAAGTGTTGCACTGACTCAACGGCCTTCCTTTCCTTTTGATCTCGATAAGGCTACGATGCGTGTGCTCACATTTGGACGATCGATGTCCCTACTTCAATATACAACGCAATCAGCCTTGCCTCCATGCCAATGGGTGGCGACTATCAGAGTCCAACTTGCCTTGATACAGGTGATGCATGCATACTTGCGCGTGACACCGTCTTGATCTTTGACGAGCACCATTACGATTGTAGTGAAAAAAGGGAACTTGATGACACGTTGGATTATGGAGACCAAGTATAGAAAGCGTGGAAAGAAAGGAAGAGTTCAAGACACAAGCCTGGCTCGTCGAATATAGAAAAAGGAGTAGTGTGTGTGCAACGTACTTTTTTGCATAAAAGAGACTTTTGTCCCAACGACAGTATCCATGGATACCACCCCCGATCCCTTGCAACCCTTCATCACGAGCCCCTGTCAATGCTGTCAAAACACAAATGCACAATGGGTTTGAGGCGAATGCCCTTGCAACCGATATTGACCCCAGTTCATGGATACCATTTATCCTCGCATCATCTCTCAACGTTTCTTCTTCGCTTGTCTTTTCCTTTCATCAACATCATGGACAGCTACGGAAACATTTATCCTTTGACAAACCCTCTTGTGCTTATCACATCTTGCTTTGCAGTGGTAAGTAGTTGGCATCTCTTGATGAGACATGTACCATCTCACTTACCACCACCACTTATTATTAGGCTGGATGGATCATTGCTTTCGTAGGCGCTTGTGTCGCTGCATTGCATGGAATTGCATGGTGGATTATCATTTTCGAGCTATTCTTTACGGTGGGAGTAGTGGTGGCCTTGGGATTAGGAGGATTCCTACCGCATCGTGGCATGGTAAATTACTCGTCGTCGTCATGTGATCTTTGCTATTGACTCATGTTTCTTTTTCCTATAGCTTCTCACGTTGCTAGCCATTAGCTTTGTCTACCTCACCTATATCATCCCATTGATTAAGGCTGATGGTACTCCCGGTGGTCGCGCCACTATGGGTGGTCTTATCATTTTGATCATTATGCAGGTAAGAAGAATACGTGAACATGTTGTCATCGGAGTACATGAGTGATTTATGCCATGCATATATTACGCTAGGGCTTTTGGATCTTCTTGCTCGGCATTTCGGAGGAGTCTCGTCTCTATCCACTCTTTTATGGTCGCAACAATGTCAACATCCCAAACATCTCTTCGTCTATTCGCCCAAGTAACTTCCAATCCAGCTACTCTCGTAATAAGGAAAACCCTCTGCCATCCATTGGTTCTTCAAGTCCCGGTGAAGGCGAAGCTGGATCCTACACCACTGCAAAGGCTATGCACACATGTACGTGTTGTTTCTGCTATTATTGACTATCTTCATACTAACAAAATACTCTTCACAGATCGTGCCAACCCCCAAGATCCAAGTGAGCTTTCCTTCTCCAAGAATGAGGAGCTAGAGATCATTGATCGTAACGGCAACTGGTGGAAGGCTAGGAAGCAAGATGGCTCCGTTGGCATTGTGCCCAGCAATTATGTAAGCATTTAAACGAATGATGTTTTACAATGACATGTATGTACCTAATCATGCTTTATAGTTCTCTTCTGTTTAAATACATCACTTATAATAGAAATGGAATCCACCATCCCATCAATTATCTAAATACAAAGTTTATTTTATTATCTATGAATAATGTAATAATGATGCGTTCATTCATTCTTTGCTTTGGTGGTATGTTTTGTGGTGGGTGCTGCTGCTGCTGTCAAAATAGTGATTAGACCCATACCGAAAGCGGCCGCTGCATAACATCGTTGAGGACCAGCAATCCAATACAACCCACATGCTGATATTGGGCCGAGAGCACGACCTAATTGACCAGAGCTGCGGAATTCACCAAGAGCACGACCTTTGGCCAGCAAAGGATGGGTGTCTTTAGCCTTGTCATCTTGGCATTGTAGACTTGCTAGCCCTGTCAAACAATTCACCACCGTGCCCGTTGTCAACGCCAAGCAAGAAACACCTGCGTAGAGCCATCGTACAGAGCTTGTGGTTGACATAGAGGATGATGACATTACACCCAAACACACAAGGCCAATTGTGCAGGATACCATGCCTTGTAATACCAATGCCTTTTCACCGAGCTTTTGGACTCTGCGACGTACGTATCCCCCTTGTAACAAGGCTGAAAGAATACCCATGTATGCCAATAGCTTGCCTTGTTGCATGTTGGTATAGTCGAGCACATCAAATGTCAAAAACACCAAAGTAAACTCCATGCCCGAAAATAGAAACAGGTGCAATCCATGAATCCATTTCAGTCGTCTTAAATTGGCGAGTCGTGTGTCAATATCAAGTGCATCGGATACGGGTTGTGTGCTGGTTTCATCGGAGTCTTTGCTTGTATTCGAATGCACATTGATGGTTTCTGGTAGCTTGAAGTAAATGTACACTGTTTCAATCAACAAAAGGACGAGTGCTACCAAGGCAGGTGTTGAATATGGATAAATGCCAAGTCGCTCTGCTGCTATCGGATGAAGCTGGCTGAGATCCACAGACGCAAACCACGCACCAATAGCTGGTCCCAGTGTGAACGCAACCGCAAAAGTGATACCCACTAAAGCCTAATACATACTCCTTTCAGCCCATGTACAATAATAAGGTTACCCTCTTGCTTACCAAATGCCTGGATCTTTTCTCTGGTTCGGTCACGTCCGAAATGATGGCGATACTAAGCTGAACGTTGCCTTCGCTCAATCCAGCAACAATACGAGCCAACAAGAACATGGAAAATGATTGTGCAAATATCCACATGGCAGAAGATAGCAAATTGCCAACCTATCCTCATTGTCGTCAATGACCTCTTCTCATCCTTCATGCACTTTTGTATCTTTATATACCATGGTCAACAATAAAACGCGGCGTCGTCCCATACGATCACTGGCACGTCCAATCATAGGCGAAACGAAAAACTGAAGCAATGAAAACATCGATCCTAGTAATCCTCCTAATAGCACCGTATCCCACTTGTCGCCACGGTCGTTTTTGGATGCTGTAATCCAATCCTTATAATGCTCCATCACTTGAAGTGCATAGCTGAGTAGCGTCCCCTAGATATTCAATCGATGTGTCAGAATACCGTATGTAGCTTGTTGAAAGAGGAACGTTGGCCGTGAAGGATACTATCTTTATACACATACCTCATCGCTTTCTTGCTCACGATAGTAATTCAGGAGACGAGGAAACAATGGTAGGATAATGGTGAATGCCAGCAGGTCAATGAGTAACGCCGTGATGACAGTTGTCACAATGGCCCGTTGTCGTGTCATGTGTGTAATAGGAATACGGGAAGAAAGCGGGAGAATACCGCGACGCATGATTTTTGAATCCAGGTTAAGAACATTTATCAGCAGCTGCCACGTGGATTATGGCATGATGCACCACCATCCATCACTGTGCCTTTATCAAATGTCACCATGACGACCAACGTATGCTTAAGAACGTATGCAGATCTCCCAGGCAACCCTCGTCGTTATCGTCATCTATCTGATCAAGTCCCTTGGCTTTATGATAGGTAGCTTTCAAGAATGGCTCACATTGATATACTCCTCAAGCTGGAATGCATATCCAATCGGACATGGTGTCTATTATCTTTTCTTCTACTACGCAAGCGACAAAGACAAGCTCATGTTATCTATTATGTTGTTGACTCCTCTTATGAAGATAATCATCATTGCTTGTGTAACTGGGCAACCTTTCATTCTTTATCAGCTTGTCCTCTTGATTTCAACTATATGATATTACATCCTTCAGCTGTGTAGATTCATTATCAATGAGCAGCACGATATCAATTTTCCTTTGTTATCCACATGTATGAAAATGCATAAAGCAATCTACAAGGAAATAGAACATGCAAACAATGAGGACATGTAAGAAGGGTGATAGCTAATAAAAGAAGAGCCAAACAAAGACACTTGTATGCAAGGCCAATCAACGTGATAGTGTACTACAATGACAAGAAGAATGAATCCATCACTTTTATACATGTATCTTGTATCCAGGAAACGGAATCAATGCGATTGTTGTAGTCATGCTCGCTCTTTATATTGTCTAGCTCGAGAGATGAGGATGAAGGTGGTAGTACCTGCTAGCATGATGATCGTAGGTGTAGATTATTTAATAAGCTGAGTGATGGTGGACTGCTGGCTCAGGAACGAACGGCCGTTGTTGGGCCATCCACGTCACAAGGCTGCTGAACCCAGTTTTGCCAATTTTGTCCACAGCCGTCAAGTAAACACCTTTCGCACACAATGTCCTCTGGTTTCGGTTTGGATGGCGGTAATGCTTCTTCGTCTCTTTCCCAATCGAATGTCGCCCGAGTAACAATTTGCTTCTATTAGGCCGCGGCCGATGCTTTCATTTCTGGCAAGAATTCAACAAGTGCTACGCTAGTGCCGATTTCCCTCAACAGTGCCTTGCTCAGCGCGACGATTATCTCGAATGCCTTCACCACACCAAAGAGGTAAGAATAAACGATGCGATATTGATAATTTGGATGATCCAGATGTTGAATGCATTATCATTGTAGTTTGCTCGTGTGACCCGTATCAAGGCCGAGGAACTTAAGCAAGCTGAGAAGAAGTTGAAGCTCAAGGAAGCTGCCAACGCTGCAGCCACCTCCAACATTGCTCGACTCAACATTGTGGATGATAAGCAGCAGACTATCGAGAGCAAAGCATAATTGCTTGTTGTTGTACAAATAAAAAAAGACGAGACGATAGATCAGCAATGTGACAATACAATACACATAATTCTATATGCAAGAGTACAAAAACACAGTCGTTATCAATTGATGATCGATTAGAGAGAGATCCAGCAATATTCTTGTTCAAACCGATACATCATGCAGCAATGGATGGATGGATGCTGATCAACGTGAATGAGTATTCTCCTTCCCCCTCTTTTTTATATCTTTTGCTCTCTTTGGAGACAAATGAAGCACGGTTCACATCCTCCTCCTCCACTCGTTCTTTTACAAGAGAAAATCAACTGCCCCAGAGCGGCGTCATCACTCTTTTACCAGGATCATACTGCTCATGCTTGATATTCTTTTACTTGCACCTGACGTTGCCTCTTTCCTCTTACCATAAAACCGCACCTATCCTTTGTATGGAATACCATAGCAACCACCACCACCATCCAAACCAACACTATTAACGGTAACCCCAACCAACCCCCCCCCCACTTAGTACCGATTTTGTCCTCTTCCAATTCCCACTTTCAATCACTTTGCCTTTCCTCGAACCCACGCTTAAAGGTACATCTGCAACCAAGACAACCCCCATGACAGCGGTAGCTGATGTTATCCATCTCTATTCCAGCAATGTACACACGATCGCCTCATGTCGGCGGCCAAAGGTCACTCATCAATCCTCCGACGTTTATCGAATACAAGGATGCGCGGTTCCTCATCGTCGACGCACCAAGTAACAACAACCTACCTCTTTATATTGAAGTATGACAGCTGGTGGTGTAGTACGTACACACATGTGGAATGCCGTATCAACATTGTTTCGTTTATTTAGGAATTCACTCGGTGGAACGTTACCGATGTAGTGCGTTGCTGCTATGCAACCTATTCCCCCGTGCCGTTGAAGGAACAAGGTATCCAAGTCCATGATTGGGTTTTCGGTGATGGTGAAGCACCTCCCACGCACATTGTCGATGCATGGCTTGACTTGATCGACGAACGATTTGGAAACACAACATCCGATACCACAACATCTCCTCCTTCTTCTTCTTCTTCAACAACAACAACACCTGCATGCATTGCGACGCATTGTGTCGCCGGTTTAGGAAGGTAATGCAATCTATTGAAAGGATAAGAAGAAGGATCATCTATTCATTCTCTCATACTCTTTATAGGGCACCTGTTCTGGTGGCGATTGCACTTATCGAACTTGGTATGCCAGCTTTGGATGCTGTTGCTTATATCCGTGAGCGGCGACGAGGAGCCATCAATAACAAGCAGCTCAAATACATTGAAGGATACAAACGACGAACAAAAAACAAGTGTATAATATGCTAGATTATTGGGCAAATGTAGATTTTTTTTGTTCTTCCTTAACAATGACTTGTTACTGGTTAATTGATGTATCCATTATCCTTTTGATCAACAATCAATAGAACAAGCGACTAGTGCATCTTTATTATTGAACAAAGACATAGATGGGTTTCGAGTTGTGTATGTTTAGAATCAAGTGAACATGAGAAAGTATGAGGCTACCTAAAAAAAGATGGGATGGATTCTATAATGCAGTCAAGGTGGATCAAAGGCGTCCATAATAGGACATCTTCTTTTCAGCTTTCCTCCTACCAACCGATGCCAACCTGCGTTGAATGCGGCGCCTCCGTTAGAAACCTTTACACCCAATACAGCAAAGACAACATACGCTTAACGTCATGTGCAAGTGAGCTTTCAATGCGAATGACAGCTGGAGAATTCTGACACGAGACAATAGAATCAGTGTAACGAGTTTGCTGACAAGTACATTGAGCACGACTTTGTCATCATATTCATTGACATGCTTCTCCACAAGCCTCAGGTATACCGTCACCTGTTGTTCAATCGGATATCGCAAGCCGGGAATAGGATCGAGGTAGATATCAATGTTGCCATGCAACCCTACAACATGGTTAACGTGCATCTCCATAGCCACACGTGACACGCTTCGCCATCCTATTGATCCTGTTTGAAGTTTGTAAGGATTCAACATATGATTGGAGGAGGAGGAATATGAGCTAAGGGCTACTCGTAGATATGAAATGGTTTCGACTCGAGACGTACCATGCCGACTATGAAACGACCTTTGTACAGCACCCATTACACTACCAATACATGTACATCTTGACTCTGTGTATCATTGGTGAGTAGTAAAAAAGACGGCTATCATCGGATATACTAACGCATGAATCGTGATTACAGAGTTCGTGGCGTTCCATTGCTGTGTACGACTCGCCATTCGATTGTATCTCATATACCAACAACCATCATCACCTAAACAAATAAGGTATGTAGGAGGAGGGGGGGAAATGGCTTTATCCAATGCATGCTCTAACGAGTACGTACTCGATGATGTTAGATACAACTACGTGTCAATGGCATTGATTATATCAAGTTTTGGGAAAATGCTCCTCATTCTGATGGTGATATGGGACTACAAGCAACTCGAATACTCTTGGCTTGTTAGCCTCATTGTACTTGCATCCAATGCCGAGGCGTTATCAGGTATGTCCACAAACTTTCATACCATCTTGGATATCTAACAAGGGATCTTTTTCTTTCTCTAGTGTACTTGGGGATTCGATACGTCCGGGTGGTAGGGATTCTCCTACTTGGTATAGCAAGCAAGCTTCTCGCGCAATATCTTTTCCTATACATTACCGGGAGAATGAGCTCTCCGCCATCTGTTTGGCTTAGCTTTTGATCCCATGGATGTTGCACAACAACCTTCTTTTGATACCACTCATCTCTGAAAACTTCCGGACAATGAAAAAAGGCTACTATTCCTTCTCTTTTCTCTTGTTTGCGAGCACACTACAATATGGAAGCTGTCAGCAACCATGCAAGGGAGTCATCATCAAGCACAGACGCATCCACAGTACTTGATATGGCAGGACATGAAAACCCAGCTGTAGTAGCACCGAATGCTATCGATGAGGAGAAGACAGCCACCACCACTTTGAAGCATAAAATAAAGGCATTTTTCCTTGGACCAAGTTTCATGTGCACCCTTATGCTGATTGCTGCTGGAAGTGCAGTGGCTTTTCAATCGGGTTGGTTTCTTTTTGGGTTGTGGATAGTAAAAAGTGAAAATGTTAACCTTGGTTTGATGGGTGGTGATGGTGTATCAATGAAATCTCGCGTAATAGGGGCCAATGCTACAATGAATCATATCGCAGGGCGAGCGTTTTCATCGGTTGTGAATTTCTCAACGGGATCAATTGCGTGCTTATTGTTCTTGGTCATTGATGTGGTCTTTTTTCGAGGACCTGCACCTACCATCACAAGATTGAAAAGTAAGTGATGAGATTTTGAAGGGGTTTCTTTGCACCGATCCTCTCTCTCTCGCTTTATTCCGAAACCAGTAACCCTCCTGCTTTTATTCCTTGTTCCTGTGTAGCATCCCCTTGGTATTCCTGGTTAGGTAAGGAGTAACTCCCATGCATCACACACACACACACACACACACAGGGGTCGTTGCTAACATTCGTAAAGGTGGTATCCTTGGAACCTATTACATTGTCATCAACATCCTCACCGTACCTAAACATGGAGCAGGAACCGTTCTCAGCATCTTTGTGTGCGCACAAGTAAGCAACAAGAGCAATAACGAAATGGCATGTAGGTGTGTTTTATTGATACAAACAACCATTCTAGGTAATCATGGCATGCTTGATGGATCATTTTGGTTTGACCGGTATATCCAAGAGGAAGTTTTCAGTATGCAGATGCATTGCATCGCTTGGCCTGATTGGATGCGTTGCGGTTATCACTTTGTTTTAGAATTCCAGAATACATCTTTTAAGGGGGTTCAAAATTATCGCGATTATGCATGAGGGAAAAAAGGGAGTAATAGAATTGAATAGAATATAGATCTTATTCCTCCTCAATTTCGACTATACGTGCTGTTGAATTAGCTGTGGTAGTAACATGATGATCATGAATAAAACTAGTGGTGGATGGGCTATTGCTATGGTTGTAAGGCTTTGAATCATTTCGCTGAGGATAGCTGAGTTGCCTGTTGATGAATCGTATCCCATCTCCTCTTCCATTGCCTGCCGGCTTTGCTTGTACTTGAATGATCGGGTAGTGCACAATGGATATATTCGGCCGATTGATAGGTGTCGCATTGATTTTAGCTGTGCCATTTTCAAGCAATTGTCGATCTGATTGGACCGTCAAGGCACCTTTCCTAAGCAGCTTTGAATAATCTTTATAAAGGAAACCATGTCAGATATGGGCAAAAGTAACACCTCCTCACAAACAGCAGTAGCCAATTAACTTACGCAATCCACAAGCATTACACAATGTCCGCGCACCATCAGGTCCTCGTCGCCATTCGGGCGTTTCTGTAGTGTGACACGAATGGCACCGCTGTCCTGCAGTGCTCCGCTTCTATTATTACACAAAGAGCGCATGGTTCAATTGAGTCTTTTATCATCATCGCTGCTTCACATGGGTATAGATGGATACATACCGTACGTCGTTTGATCTTTGGTCGTATAGTGTCATCTTGTGGTGGTCTAGCCTGACGAATCAAGGCATACTCTGAATCCTTGACCTGATGATGAAAAGAGGAATAATACGTCATTTAAATTACACTATTAGGGATCATCATCATCATCATCATCATCTTTCTTACCTCTATTTCAGCATCATTGTGAGACCGTTTTTGACCGGTTCTTAATTGGTGTTCCTGAAGCATTCCAAGAGATGATAATAAACTTTGTGCTGTGTGTGCGGCGTTGTCCAAGAGCTGTTGCCAGTCAATTTCCGATCGCGATCTCCAATCCTGATCTCTACACCGATCCAAGTCTTGACATAGAGAAGCACATTGCCCAATGATCTATTATCCAACCCAGGGGAAAATAAACAAGAAGCAGATGAGGAAGGGGTTGTTAGTATCGTGGCTATAACCAATGGTGAACGATGATGGATGCTGCATTGCTCTACGCACCTCCTATCGTCCATTCCCAAATGTCTGCTACATACTTGATTTATATCCACACATGGCTGTATTGGCGAATAAGGCGGTAATGGTGTAGTATCGGGTGATATGGATGTTTTTGATGTATCATGTAATAGGGTGCTGCTATTTACAGAAGGTACTGGAAGATATTCATGGATACTAGTTGTTGGCGTAGTTGTCGTCGTTGTTGTTGCTGCTGGTGGTGGTGGTGCCGAAGTAGGGTATCGTAACTTTGGTAATTGCACATTGGAAGTCATTCGGAAAGTGGGTTGTGTGCTGGTGTTGGGTGCTCCATGATCGAGTTGTTCCAAAGCACGTGCATCTCTAAAAGTGAGGTGTAAATGGAGAGTCAACAATGATAGTGGCACTGTTGTATACATACGACTCTGGACGGTGAGGACTTGTTGGCGAATGGGGTGACGGCAATGCATCGCACTCTTCTGAAGACGTAGAGCACAGTGCTGAAATATCCATGCAGCTAGTGAGAAAGGCAAGGAGAGAAAAAAAGAAAAAGATCAAGCGGGACCCACATACAGCTTATACTCAAAATCAAATGATGGTCGCCATCATTGCTTCACCTTGGATACCAGCTATCATTACCTTGACTACCTTCTCTATCATTCACTTGTCGCTCCCTTTATACCTATACCTATCTTTCCTTTTGTCTTTTGCTGTGTCATCATCATCATCATATCCATTTTAACACACACACGTCAAAACTTGTATCATCCTCCTCATCTTTATTATCCTCAAAGAGATCAACACCCTAAGAGTGGTATCATTATACTTGGCTATCATCGATGTATTGGCAACCAAATATCAATTTGAGCCGTTGTAATTGTTATACGTTTGCGTTCCATAAGCCTTGGATTTTCGATGATGATATCCCGATCTCAATTGTCCATTTGTGGAAATCGGCGATCGATAGCCTGTAAACCGGGGAGATCTGCATACGCTGTATCCATTCCCTTAGATAGCCAGCGAATTTTCTCCTCGCCAGGAATATCAATATCACTTGAATCAATTCACATCTTCACCATTTCGTATACTTTAATGATCAAAAGGATTGTTTACTATGTCATTCCTACCTCGCTCATTCATCGGATGCTCCCGCAGCTTGCACAACGCTAAATCTCTGTGCAACTTTGAAGGAATCACCATTACCCTATTTGTCCGCCCACCTGTTGGCTATGTCCATGCACTTGAATAACGTTGACCAAAGACTGCTTCCGATACCGCAGTTGCGGATCACGCAGTTTCAATGATGTGATGGGTATCTCGATTCGTTATGCAACGTAATAAAGCTGCTATGATGTGTTGTGTTGCTATTATACACGAATAGCAACATCGCATACTTTACAGCTATTGCATGAAGAGATCACTCCCTTACAAGTAAACCATGTGGGTAGACATTTGAACGTCAATGATTACTGTCAAAGAATTGATCATCAACGCACAATTACTCTTGTGTATACCGCATGCGGCTAATCAAACGTCCTTGCCAAGCCCAAGATGATACGGCGCTAATAGAGTAGGCGGTGAGTAGATTAGCTAATCTTTAATTTCTTATGGATTAACCCGTGATAACATAGGTTGATTCTAGTGCTACAATCATTCTCAGGGTGGTAAAATAAGATCTACTCCCACCACATGATGGCAATGTGGGACGTTACAATAGTCCTGTCAAATGTTGATGCTCATGGTGGTGTTTGATGGCTTTGGTCAAAAAAGAGTCATCCATTGTCGCCATTGTCACTTGTACACGGCGTCCGAGGCTTGAATAAACAAAACCTTATGCAACGCTATACCGCAGCAAATCCGCAGTGAGCGGGCAAACATCCACTCACACCTCAGCCACGTCTTGAATGTTCAATCCAGTGCTTAATACGTGGCACAATAAAGAAACGAACACTGCTTGAGTATCTATACCTGTAAATTTGGTATGGAGTATTGCTACATGTAGCTTTCAAAGTTTCCATTCATGGCAACTAAAGAATGGGAAGCGGCCAAGAGAATGGCAACGACAATTTCCAAAAACGGAACATCTCCGCACGTCGCCATGGCAACATCATGGCCTTGGGTTACACGAACCTGCATTAACAAGCACAAACCATGCTGCGGGATTGTCTCTTTGTGCTTGTGCTTGGAAAACCGCAGTCGATATTCTCCATGCAGTAAGTAGTTTGCTCTACGCCAGAAATAGTCATTTCGCACTACTACTTATCCGCAGCAGAATGATAACAAGTATAAAAGGTGAGAGTTCCATTCCTCTGATAGCCGATAAACTCTTTCGCTCATCCACCTCAGACTACCCACGGCACTTTTTATTATCGTACGCTATGCCTGCGCAGTCCTCATTGATCCAATCATCCACACGTGCAATCGACACCTTGCTCACCCTGTTGGAAAAGGTCCTTGATGAGTCATTTTGGGAAAGCATGATGGGCCCAAGGCTTGTCAACCTTGCCAAACGCTATTTTGGAAATGACTTTGTTATTCTCAGCGCTGTATTTTATATATCAAGTGAGTGCCATTCTCAAAAGTGGGTGCATCAATGCTTATACAAGGATTCAAATCATAGCTCTATTACGTACAAAATGGACCGACTTATTACAACACATCTTGGAAAAACTAAGAAAGCCTCAGCCCCCTGTTGTATCGGTGGAATTGATCACCCACGATCGAGCATACACAGCTGTGGATGACTTTGTACGACGCAAGATCAGGACAATCCCTGATTTGACTCGTGTATTTGCCACCTTTGAAGATTCCAATGATGAGGAGTCTGATGACCAAACGGAAGATAGCAACAACAACAAGAAATCTTTGGTGCAATTTTATCCACGTAAGCATCTAGCATTTGGTATGATAGGGGTGGTTTACATGTAATAACCATGATACCTTAGCCGAGGAAACGAGCAATGAGATTGAATACAAGGGCTACACCCTCCGTGTGACATGGCGCACTATCAAGAAGCCCAAAGATGATGAGGAGTCTGTTGTTGAAGGAGCCATGTTCCGTGGTAGATTTGTTACTCGCACATTGGAAATCTCGTAAGTGAAGATACGCTACAAATGATTCGTTTAAGCATGTATCTTAACAATCACTTATTAGAATGGAGCATGATTCACTTGATCTGCTGAAACAATTTATTCAAGAATGGACCGATATTTACAATGATCGTCAAACGGAGGAGGTAAATAGTAACTTTGAGTGGCAACAAGGCAACAAGAGATATTGACTTGCTGGTATGTAGATCACCATCCACAAATACATGGGCAATTATAGCTCTTGGGAATACTACAAAGCAATGGATCCAAGACCCATTTCAACCGTAGCTTTGAAGGCTGGCGTCAAAGAGAAGATTGTCAATGGTAAGCATTCATGAATACCTTACGAGTGTGAGCATGGCAACTCATGCTTACATGCCTCGTTGCTAGATATGGAGCGCTTCCGTCGCCGAAAGCGCTGGTATAAGACACGTGGTGTTCCCTATAGACGTGGCTACTTGTTGTATGGCCCCCCTGGTACTGGTAAAACATCCTTGATTCAGGCTTTGGCAGTACGTATTATCTTTGTTTACCAAAAAATGTGTGCATAACAACTCACAACCATTCTCGTAGTCAAATTTGGGCATGGATATTGGCATTGCAAGTTTGCTTGACATGTTTTCAGATTCTGAATTCAGCGACATGTTGAGCGAGGTTCCCAGCAATTGTTTGGTTGTCCTGGAAGACTTCGATCATTATATCCACAAGTTGTCCGAATCACATGAACGCACTGGTGTGAGTGTTGCTGGCATGTTGAATGCTTTGGATGGTATTCAAGGCCAATCTGGATCGAGTAAGTAATCATCCCAGCTTCTTTTCAATCATGGTGAATGCTCACATTTCGATTTCCTTAGTGATCTTTATGACGTGCAATGATATCACCAAGCTTCCACCAGCTTTGTTGCGTCCTGGCCGCATGGATGTAAAGCTTAAATTGGATTACGCTGATCGTGGGCAAATTCAAGACATGTTTTGGCAGTTCTTTGGACATGATCCTGATACCTTGGAGCCCATGTTGGATGGTGAGCGTAAGGAATACGTGCAATCATTGATGAAGAAATTTGCCAATGCACTTCCCGAGAACCATGTTACTACGGCCGAACTCGAGAACTACTTTATCACTCTTTGGATGGAAGCTGATGCTGAAAACCCTGAGGATGGTTTATACGATCGCCTTTTCAATGATATCCCGGAGTTCTTGGAGAAGGTCAAGTTGGATCGAAAGCAAGCAGAGGAACATGAGAAACAAAAACAAGAAAAGAAACAACGGGACCGTGACCATCGTCGTAAGAGACGACAAAACGATAGTGACAACGACAACAGCAGTAGTGATGAGGAGGAAACTGCTGACGACAAAAAAGACGAATCAGCTGACCAAGAGCCATCTACCAGCAATAATGATACCCAAGACAACGCCAAAGAAAATAGCGATGATAAGCAAGATACCAACTCCTCCACACAAAATGATGACAACAATGACTCTGACTTCTCCTCAACTTCAACAAAATAACTTTTATCATATTCCAATCCATACATTCACACTTTGTACATAATAAAAAAAGCATTTCCTTATCACAGTATATGGTTAACTACTCTTGGGCATACGGCCATCCGCTTCTTTTTGAACACGTCTCCATTGGTTGTTCTTGTGTATGAGTGCTTTGCCGTCATATGCATCACTTAATTCTTTGCTGCCAACCTTGAGTGCCTTTTCAGCGGACCAATAAGCAGATAGAAGCATTCCAGGAGCACCAAGTCGTTCTTGTCTCTTCTTATCTGCTGCCCTTTTTTCTTCAAGTGTAGGTGGAGTCCATTCCAAATGCGGCACCATAATGGATGGATCAGGATAACGTCGAACTCTAAACTGAGGATTGTGGCTGATCTTCCTCACGTTGCCACCTCTACCGCGCCCACGAAAATTTGGTGATCTCCCCCTTGGCCCTGTAGATACAACAGCGTCTTGTCGTTCTCGAAATGTCATATCCTGAAACTGGGTAGCCTGCTGCCATGCCGCATCCACAGCACTGAAACCTCCTTTGCTTTCTTGGGTATCCTCTTCTTCCTTAACCATATGCTCACTCGCTGTGGGAGGTCCAGTCACCCGATTTGCAAGCATTGATTTGATCGATGTGCATACCTACATAGCCATGTTAGCACGTGGACGATTGATTTTATCATATTCAACTTGCCATGTTGTGAGAATCAGAGATAGTCGCAAACCGCTTCCCGACAAGGTATAATGCCACAAATAGTCTTCTCGCCAAAACTCTAAAAGATACTTGATTTAATCAAAATGCGTCATGTATGTATATTGGAAACTTACTGAGTATCTTGTCGCGAGAGAATGGGACGTTTCAGAATCTTCAACCTTTTCCCTACCAGGACATTATCAAGGTATTCTATTGCCTATGATAGCTTAATGAATGGGACGACATAATGACATGAGCAAAAACGTAGATACACGTACCGCCCTAGCTGCTGAAAGTGCCATATCTTGTTCTCGCACGTTGTCTTGCAATAAGATATCCATAAGCTTCACCAAGTGATTTTCCAGCTCCACCGTGAGATCCTGTATACCATGCTTAGCTAACATACCATCTTTCAACTATATAAATACCTACCGATAGCACACCAAAGCCTGTTTGCAAAGGAGAACCAACTGTCATTTCGAATGCGATATCTTCAATCGATCTTTCAGGACCTGGGGTGGAAGGGAATCGATCTGTGCCCATGCAACTTCGGAAACAAGAATACCATCTGGTAATGCGCTCCACATAATCCGTTGTGGTTGGCTCTGGTTTGAGTGGGACAAGTAACCACCGAGAATTGTACTTGAGAGGATCATAGCTGTGAACTTTGGAAGCCTGGTGTACATCTTCAAAAGAAACCGGCTCGATCATCATTCGAAAGAATTCCTATAAAGCATGAAGATTGGTCATGTGATCATTGCTTTTCGCTTCATTGCTTACCTCCGCTTTCAAAGTATCAATGGCTGGCTTCACATCCACCCCTTCCAATTTGACTTCTTTGATTTCAAACGCATCTTGTTCAGCCCTTGTCGCTTGAGCATCGAGTAGCTTATCCAGACAATGGAGAAAAATTCGACCTACATTTGCTTTAGAAAACAGGAACATGCTTGTTGATATACCATCTCACCTCCTTCAACGCTCAACATGTGTGTGCTTTCCTCTGATCTGATAGGGTCATACGCCGCTTGTCGAGATGTCAGATACAAAACGCTATCTATTCCATAGATTAATGAATACCATGCCTTTGAAAGCTGCTCAAATATATACTCACTTTGATGCATCGGCGACAAAAGCAATTCATTGGATTTATCCCCTGGCTGAACAAAGAGGCCTGTCAACGCAAAGTGTGGAATCTTCGCTACTTGTACTTACTTTGACTGGGATCATCGTGTGCATACAAGAACACCATCCTACGTCTGAATGCAATGCATTAGTATAATGCATGGATCATTTTAAGAGAACCCCACATTTACCATTTCCACTCTTCTTCATTTGCTTGAAATATGTAAACTCCTTCATGTTGGATTGTAGATAGCTTGGATCTGAAATCGACAACGATGTTGGGTGTGTAGTCTGCGTTCTGGAATTTCGTTGACAAGGGCGGGCGAGCATTTGTATATTCTGTGTCATCATAGGGCTGTCGTTGTTGCCTTGGTCGGTGAGCTAAACACATGAATAGTAACAGTGTGAGTATACACATAATCAAGCATTTGAAAACATGCGTACGTTTGTGGGTATGTTGGATATTTGTATCACTTCAAGGCCATAATGTAATTGAGCCAAATGCCGCATAGCAATCTTGAGTGCTGTATCATGATTGGGAATGTCGTGGATGGAGATAGTGATATTATCGGCAATCTAGTACCAATGATTACTACATGCATTGTCGTGCTATACCATGATTCCTTACCTCTTGATTGTATATAGTGGATGGCGTAGTCGATGTGTGCTGACATAAACGTAGAACATCGACATGTAGATTACCGATCTCTGCTGCCTTTTGTGCTGCCAGAAGAATTGTAGCTCTTATATCTCGAGGATCGGATGCATCATCGTTCCTGTACCTTTTCATATCCTTTAGCTTGATACATGCGAATACTTATATACTTTCAAGAAGCCTTACATGTATGTTCCCATGTCGCTTGGATTTTTGTTCATAAGAAGCAAATATATACGCTGATCTCGTAAAGGCTTTCCTGAGCAGGCTGCATCCAATGCACGTTGTATACGATCGTTTTGTGAAACATGTCGTGGTTGCGAACGAGAAAAACCAGCCATCATCTACTATCATCGTTAGTATTAGCATAGATGGTCTTTGCTACTTTTGTTTACCTTTGCAATATCCTTATCCTCGTGTGCCATACGCACATAACGGGGATCCTCGTCAGCGACAATGACATCGATCTACTTTTCTCGCATGAGCAAACGCGTACTTCAATAGATCCTTTCTCATACATACACTCCACGTATTACTTGTGCTTAAGCTCCAACTGATTCGACAAAGCTCTTGTGTACTGTCCACCATGCAAGTCCACCATGGAACCGGAGGTAGCATTTCTACGCATGATAACCGATCAGTCGACGATTGTTAAAGGAGTGAATACAGTGTCTATCGTACGTGTCTTATCCACGTCAGCATCGTAAGTGTGTATTGTTGGTGTGAATACTGAAGGGTGCCCGTCTAAGATAATGGTTGATGCGTTCATTGTCGGGAAAGAGAAGGTGCCTCATCAATGTCTTTGTTCAACTTGTTTTATCCCCGCACATTATGCTGCTATCTACTCCCAATAAAGCGACGCATATCATTTCGTAGCACGATCCATAGTCTCTTTGCTTTATCACATATACCTATTCCACCGATGCAGTCGTATCTTGCATTATCCCAAACAATAAAGTCTTTTTGTTTGATAACTCAAGTCTTCATGAAACGTCAACTTGCAATCAGAGTTTAAAGGTAATCGAAAGCAGAATTCAGCGGTGGGGTGCAAGACGATACTTTTATGAGAGGATGAGTAAGAAAGAAGTAGGATTATAACTAATTCTCTTTGCGCAACAACAAATAAAGAGTGATAATAGTAAACGTCTGCTGTAGATGATGTATGAGATTTTGAGACAATGACTGGGTGCCTGAAAAAGGAATAATTCTGGTTCTTTGTCATAGAGAATAGGGGGACTATACATGAACGATGACTTGTCATGAGCAAAGTAGGTCTGATATCAACAATCTCGCCATGTCAACCATCTCCAAGGTGCCTTTACACTGCGACGAACACCACGACGACTACAAGCAAAACTACGAACGATGACGGAAGAGAAAGACGGCGATGGTCGCAAAGTAAGTAGTTAGAGCAAATAAAGGATGTTATTAGCACACTTGGACTTTGCTAGTATGCCCCCTATCTTGCTTGCTTGTGACTCAACAACATAGCTTAGATAGAAGAATAATACTAAAAGACGTGGTTGCTTTATTGACCTTGTAACAAGCATACGACCTCTCTGATGCAGTAAAGAGTGGATTGGTCATGAGAGATAACACGATCCTTCATTGAGTTTCCGGATGAGTGACCAATCATATATGTTACTGTGGGCAAAAGTGTGGCACCAAGCATGTCCGTGCGCATCCTCTTTAGTTATTATTGATTCATGCAGTTCATCCTTCCCCTACATGCAAATGTGATATGGAACCATTATTGTTATACATACACCTTGACACACCTTCATGGTTGGATGTTGTTTCACTTACGTACCTTCACAAAAGGCAATCATCATATCATCATCATCATGCATTTGTGCAGCAATTTGTCAAGGATGTGTTTGTGTGACCATCACGTGCCATTTCACTCAGCTCGCCATCTTTCCGTTCATGCAGCCGACACCGTCCACTAGGAGAAAGCAACTCCACCACGCTTACAACATAGTAAAAACATAAAGACGCCTGTATCTCCGAACTTTACAATGAAACGTGGGGTTTTTATTAGAGCAATGTGCTCGGCTTGGCCAACTGCACCTTGGGTGCCAGTTTCACGATCAAGCTTGCCAATCCCAGATTTCGCAATGTCGCTACCAGCCAAACTGGATCTGGGGGTCGACCTCTTCGACGACGACGACCAAAAAATATTTTTTGGGCTGTTTGCGACATTGAACGCGAAACTTTCACACAAGGTGCTGTTGGCCAAGCCGAGCACATTGCTCTATTCAAAACTCCACGTTTCATTGTAAAGCTCTGAGATACAGGCACCTTTATGTTTGTAAGCGTGATGCTATATGAGAAGTGGTCTTTGTTCATTGTCAAGTAGCTAGACCCTGGAGAGCCAAAGATGCAGAAGGACCTCTTTGTGTAGCTGAGCTAAAAAGTCCGGACCTCAGGGACGATGCTACAGGTACGCAACCCTCACTTTTATGTCATACATTGGCAGCTAATAGCCGCTTTTGTGCATCCCCAACTTTTGTGCATTCTATTGTACGTGGACGATGCTCCTGCTCTAGACATTCATTTCCATGATTAAAGTAGGTTGATCCGAGCTGATTTGGTTGAGTTACGCTCACACAAGATTACATCAGTTGAGCTACATCGAGCGTGCTGTATGTCCAGAGTGATGTAATCTCTCTTTGACTGCAGCTCAGTCAAATCAGCTCGGATCAACCTACTTTAATCATGGAATTGAATGCCTAGAGCAGGGGTATCGTTGCCATGCAGTGGATCTCGCAACAATGATGATTGGATAAAAGTGGCCGATAGCTAGCAATACATGCCTGTTCCTAGATGATCCATAAAGTAATTATACATTGACCCTTCCATTCATGCAAACGTAGCTGTGTTACACAACACGACCCTCTGCATCTTTTGCTCTGCCAGGGTCCACCTACTTGACAATGAACAAAGACCACTCTTCATATAGCATCACGCTTACAAACATAAAGGTGCCTGTATCTCCAAACTTTACAATGAGACGTGGGGTTTTGAATAGAGCAATGGGGTCGGCTTGGCCAACAGCACCTTGTGTGAAAGTTTCGCGTTCAATGTCGCAAACAGCCCAAAAAATATTTTTTGGTCGTCGTCGTCGAAGAGGTCGACCCCCAGATCCAGTTTGGCTGGTAGCGACATTGCGAAATCTGGGATTGGCAAGCTTGATCGTGAAACTGGCACCCAAGGTGCAGTTGGCCAAGCCGAGCACATTGCTCTAATAAAAACCCCACGTTTCATTGTAAAGTTTGGAGATACAGGCACCTTTATGTTTGTAAGCGTGATGCTATATGAGAAGTGGTCTTTGTTTAATGTAAAGTAGTATGACTAATAGAGCAAAAGATGCAGAGGACGTGTTTGTGTAACTTTGAGTCATTCAGCATAGGCGATGCATGATTCTTGTACGCTATTTAGGAATAGTTCAAAATGCCAGCTAATAACCTTAGTCCTCCCATTCTACATTGTTGTCCAATCCAATGCATACGAACGATTGTCCTGCTCCAGCCCAGCATGCCCATCATTCGACTTTCTTGATCCGATGAGATTTGACTGAAAAACGCTCAAACACAGAAACATCATCCAATATCAGAAGAATCAAATTGGTAAGTTATTTGTAAACTGCCACTTGATAGCCCATTCCTCCCAATCACCTTTGTTTCCCAATCCAATGTATGTGAACGATTGTCCTGCTCCAGCCCAGCATGCCCATCCTTCAACTTTCTTGATCCGAGAGGATTTGGCTGAGAAACCCTCAAACACAAAACATCATCCAATTTCACAAAAATCTTTTTGCAAAGTTATTTGTAAACTGCCACTTGATAGCCCATCCCTCCCATTCACCTTTGTTGCCCAATCCAATGCATATGAACTATTGTCCTGCTCCAGCTCAACACTTCCATCATTCAACTTTCTTGATACGAGAGGATCTGGATGAGAACGCTTAAACAAAGAAATGTCATCAAACACCAAAGAAATCTACCTGGAACTCCACCTCTTCCACTCCCACTTCATCTTCTCTTCCTCCCATTCTCAACTGGTGACCCATTCAAGCGCATCTACCACCTGCGAACGATTGTCCTGCTTCAACCCATCATGTCAATCCCACAGCTGTCTTGATCCGATTGCCTTGACTGAATGGCAAGTGCATGGCGTGTACACAGCCTTCTTGTCACTCTTCTACAACACACGAGTCTCTTGACGCAACACACGCTCTTGCACACTTCTCTGCCATAACCAAACGTAACAGCATTCATTCCAGCAGCTGCTATTAGCGATGCCTTTACTCCATTGCCTCAAACAGCGTTCTTTACTTGCAGCAACTTGCCTTACAGCCTTTGTTACGTGCCACAGCAGATAGCGATCATATAGAAGCAGCTTCATTTACGTGTAGCAACTTGTTTTCAATACATACGACTTCTTGTGGATATGGGTATGGATTTGTATATTGGTTTGGTACATGGGATGGAAGGAATTGGATACACACAACACGTTGAATCCCCTTGGCCCATTCAGAACGTGCTGTGCAGTTTGGATGAAACTGTATCAGCCATCAATACAAACAATCTTCAACTGGTTGAGATGCGATGGAAAGGTCCAACAAAGAGAGAGTGGCCAAGAATTGGATTTGGAATGGTGATTGTGGATGTATGTATGCAAATGGGAATCATGGTGATTACTTGTCGCGTTGTCAGCAGGGACAATGGATCATATCACGTGGATACGGCTGAGGATGATGATGGATGGGTTGGAATTGACAAAGTGTGATTACAGCCATGGACGATATTGGATTACTCGAGTTAATGCACGCAGCAGCTACTTTGCAATCATGGATGAAGGATTTTATGAGGACAGCAACCAAGAATACAATGACACCATCTTCCCTGTTGCCTCTATGTAATTCACACCCCCATATCTTATTCAAATTGCAAAGCTGTCCTTTATCCAATTTACTTCATAAACATCCACACTACACTATGCTATTCTTCGACTTTCATTGAATGAGAATCGGATTAATTAGAAAGCGGATCGTACTATCAGGTTGGATGTGCAAGGTGCAGGTCACTTGGTTGACTTCTTGATTGAGGGTTGGCGAAAGAAACCAGAGGGTTGGAAAGAGAGATTAGATCATCATATGCATGAAATGCAGTGGTCCCATACCACGGTGGAATGTAGGAATCGAGCTGCATAAACCACTTTACATAAGCCCAAGCAATTCAATGTGCACTAGAATGACAGCAAGATGTATCTTTTGGTCACTCATTCGTCCTGAAAATCGCTTTTTGTATTGAAGTCAATTGAATTAGAGAAGACATATTTTACAAGAAGGCCGACAACTAATTAATGGAACCACTATATTACTGTACCATCTAAGCGATAAACCACAAGCAGCAAGAAGAGAGGAATAAGTAAGCGAAGACCAAACGTATCATGAACAGCCCTTATACATACTTTGCCGTGGTCATGAGAACCATCCAAGACACAAATATAAAAGAACCGAATCTTGCATGCTTCCTTTTAGATGTCAACGCGATATGAGGTATTCATAGTGCAATACTATCTTGCCGAGAGAAAGGTAAACTACCACTGTTTGTGTCACTGTCGTTACCGATGTGGTTGTAAATCGTTACAGGAGTTGTCATTGTCGTATCTACAAATGAAAGAAAGCAAGTCTGTAGGGACCAAATAATCAATTACCCTCGCTGCCATATTTGTTCTCATTCATCCTTTCCAACAAAGAAAAGGTATCCCCCCCCTCCATTGCCCCAACCCTCAAAGAATAACCACCATTTATCATTAGGAAGGCATGTCTTATTGTGCACTGACGTCAAACGACCACATCAAAGGTACAGGTTGGGAGTCGATCCTAAGGAGAAATGATGTCCAAAGTTGCACTGGCTAATAAGGAGCCTATTCAATTCATTGTTAGCACACATTTACAATAAACGTCTTTTTCATTGTTTGCTTCATTGCATTACCTTTTCCATATTCATAAGACGTGTTGTTGCTGGTTACTGGAAACCGAAAACCATGGTGTAATGCTGTTGAGCCGAAAAAGTGCCAAATGAGCCAACGTCTTGAAACCAAACTTGCCCTCTATACAAGATAACACGTCAATGGAACAAACTCTGCTGCAACATTGGACTTTGAATGTACCTTAGTGTATCAAGGGTGAAGCGGCATAACAACGAAGAGCAAGAAGAGACCACTTCTACAACCACCCAATGGACTCCCTGCTTATGAATATTTAGCGCTATACTAATATCACAACCAACAAGATAAATACATTGATGGGATACCGTGAATGAGATAAAAGGAGGAGAAGCGCTTGTCTCAAGTCATGTTCCCCGCAATAAAACTCCCCCAGTGCTGCCCCACTATTGGGATTAGCTCCTTTCTTCAAGGTATGTTTACTGGACATGCTCTTGTATCAAGGAGATTTGGGGTTATCAGGTTGTCTTTTGTATCTTCCAATGTATTCTGTAGGGGTACGGGCACTTGTTGTAAATAGCAATGATGCATGTGTATCCAAGGTGGTAGGCATTGACAACATGAGGTATTATCTGAGACTAAACCCAACATCGTATTTGGCATGGTCCAAAAGGCAAAAACCCGTGTCACCGGTACGTGTCACCGGTGTCAAAAGTGTACACAATATATTTTCTGGCTTAAGGAAAATTCTTGTTCAACCTCTCTTCCGCATATTTTCCCACGCAAAAGCATGTTGCCTACGCGCCAAAACGTCAAGAAGATCCTCGAACACTTTGGTCAAACCAGTGGTGCCATTTACCTCAATAGCCAAGTGGTCCATGAACGCGATGACACCGATTGCGAACTCCCATTCCGTCAAGAGAGCAACTTTTATTATTTGACAGGTATACAAGTACACTCCTCCTCATTCCAACAATACCAACTCACTCATACAATGTGATGCATCTTCTTTTTCTTTCAAGGCGTTGCCGAACCTGGTTTCCACGTTGTCATTGATGTTGCTACCCAACGTATTCGATTGTTTGCCCCTGCTGTTAACCCTGATGATGTGATTTGGATGGGCTTGCCAGATAGCCTCGAGACCTTGCAATCAAAGTATGATGTCGATGAAGCTCTTTATGTCGATGATCTCAACAAGCATTTGGCTGAAGCCAACATTGTGTACACCATCCCTATTGCCAAGACCGATTTGCTTGACACTGAGCGTGTTAAACTTGCCGGCGATGAGGATAAGAAGAAGTTGTATGCTGCTTTCTGTGAGGCTCGTGCTATCAAGGCTGACTGGGAAGTTGAAATCATTCGTCAATCGAACAAGATCTCATCCGATGCCCATGCCAAGGTACATGCCGAATTGATCTTTTTGTTGTTGTATATCTAATAACGGATGAAATGGTAGGTTATGGAAGCATGCCGCCCTGATATGAATGAGAGAGATTTGCACTCTGTCTTCCTCAATGGTAAGCTATAATCGTATGATTTCGAAGGAAGGATACAGGCTAATACTAATTCATGATGGATAAGAATGTACCCGCCAAGGCGCCTTCTTCCAATCCTATTTGCCCATCTTTGGTGCTGGTAAAAACGCCGCTACCTTGCACTATGGTAAAAACAACGCCACCATCAACTCAACGGATGTTATCTTGGTCGATGCTGGTGCTGAATATGAGTACTACACTTCCGACATCACCCGCACCTTCCCTGCCAATGGCAAGTTTACTCCCGAAGCTAAGGTGATTTACAACATTGTGCTTGAAATGCAAAAGGTAATAAGGTTTAAACTATCGACGTGATGACTTTATGCATGTCCGCTAATGGAAAGTCGTGTCAAATGTAGGCCTGTTTTGCCAAGTGTAAGGCTGGTGTAGCATGGGAAGAGATCCACGAAACCGCACTCCAAGTTGCATGTGATGGTCTTTTGAAGGCTGGCATCCTTGTTGGTGACAAGCAGACTCTCTTGGAAAAGGATGTTGTTGCCGCCTTCTTCCCTCATGGCAGTAAGTAGTACGAATTATTAAGAGAACGAAGATGTAATTAACCATGCAACATAGTTGGTCACATGCTTGGTTTGGATGTTCACGATGTTGGTGGTTATCCTGCTGGTGTTGAGCGTATCAACCGCCCAAGCTATCGTTACCTTCGTATGCGACGCACCCTTGCTGCTGGCAACGTTGTGACCGTTGAGCCTGGTGTCTACTTTTGCGATTTCATTATTGATCCCGTGGTCAAGTCTCCAGAGACCAGCCAATACATCAACGTTGACATGTTGAACAAGTACAAGTCTGTTGGCGGTGTCCGTATCGAAGACAACCTTCTCATCACCGAAGATGGATATGTGAACTTGACCACCGTTCCCAAGGAGGTTGACGAGATTGAAAGCCTCATGTCCCAAGCTGTAAATGAAAACAAGAAGAGACGTGTAGAATAGAGCTTTGTTGATCAGAGCATGTAACTACTCTTTTATTAAACATAGAACCTGTTACTTTGTACATGATTCCGTGCCAATAAGGATGAGTGCATTGATGTCCCTATTTTCATAATACCTTTCGCTCTACCATAGCCATGCACAAAATTACCACCATTGTCGAATTACATTTTGGAGTAACATCTTCAACCTATGCAGGGTTCGAGTATAAGAAATTGGAGATCCATGCGCTAGAGCTGCATTACGCTTAACAAACGTGAATGCAAGAAGGATCGATGATACTTTTAGACCAACATCAATCCCTCGCTTCATGCAGGCATAAATCCTTCCCTATTCTTGTCAAAAGATCCTATTTCAGGCATGAGATCTCAAACCCATGAAAACCAAGATATATAATCGAGCAATTTTCTCACCCGATGCAATTTGTCTTTTTCAAACACAACATGGGAACCCCTTCTGATTTTATTCATCTTTTCCACAGACGCCACGAGAGTAGCAAAGATAGATCACAAAGGGTCACAGCTGAAGAGAAACGCACCTCAAATGATCATCATGCCGAGACAACCAATAGCGCTCCCCAATCACCACAGGAACGAAAGTATCTAAAGGATCCATTTCGAAACACGAACCATCCGGATATCAATTATTACGACCCAATGTCCCAAAAGCGAAATGCATCACCAGGCATCGATCCAAGCAATACCGGAGCTTAGTACATAGTTGATGATAGGACATAAAACATGATCTTTCTATGGAGCCACAGAGTTGGATGGCATAGTGATTGAAGCATTGTTGGAAGCACTGTATGGAGAATTTGTGACGAATCGACGACCGATGCAAAGATCCAGATCAATAGCCATATAAACAGGAACCCATAACTCCCATACATCATCTCCTGAAGAGAGTCAACTTTATGAATAACCCAAACTAAACGCACAAAATGATATTGTCTTTGAACAACGACGTATCCTAATACTTGTATTTTGTCGAGTAATCCTTGAGCGATACAACAAGACCACGTCCCTTCCTTGCACCACGATACACGATCTGCATTGATGAATCTTAGCCTAGAATCCAATACGTTGATATCATGACTTGCTTACCTCAATCAAATCAATCATCTCTGATTTATCATCGAGAGCCCAATTGATCTTGTTGTTGTTACCAGTTCCCAAGTCGACCATAATATGCTTGTTTCGGAAGAAGAACATCGTTGTGCATGGGTCATAAAGTTCGTACATCTAGGGGATAATCATCAGGAAATGAAGAACATTATAGAAACCCCCATTTACCTTATTGAAATCAGGCACCTCAGTGATGTCAACCTATTCAATCCACAACGAAAAGGCATTAGATCAAATAAAAGATAGCATTGTATGATCTTACCAAATAGATGACAGCAAAGTTTTTGACCTTTTCGGCGATGCTATAAAGGATCTCATCCATTTTCATGCATGTCTATATGAAAAGTCAGTTGAGAACGTCGTGGCAAAGCAGCACCTAAGAATATCCGTTTTTGTGCTGCAAGTGTAGCCCTTACCGGGTCCCAATCGTGGCCAAAACGAATGACAACTACACGGTCTTCCTCGGACAGGATTGCCTGGTCGACTTGCCAACCTTCATACAAAAGAGAATTAGCTTCCACGATTGATCTGGAAACGAGTGCTTACTTACCGTTGGTCAAATGCGGAAGGAAATACTGGAGAGAGTGGATTCAGCATGTTGAAAAAGAGAGTTTGTTCGATCAAAGACTTACCGACTACATTGAGTGATGGGGAGGGTTAGTGGAATGAAATGCTATTGGCAATGCATACAGCTTACCATGTTGGAAAGGAATTGAACACTCAGTCGCTGAGAATGCTCTCCCACAAGCGAGTTATAGTGAGCCCGCTGAGTCTGAACATGAGTGAGGGAGATGCAATCAGCAATCGTGTTGAGGTGCGGAGCTGTATGAAATACGCTTTCGCTCAAATTCAATGTCTTTGTCTTCCCATGTCATCTCTTAGACAACATCGTTGCATTGTACGAATGATCCGCTATGTTATACATTTTTCCTGGATGCAAACGGTGTACCTTCTATATATGGAAATTTTGTGGTTTATATAGCACCACGGCGATGAAAAATATAAGCTGAAAGAGGAAAAAAGCTCGCTTAGCTCAGTTGGTTAGAGCGTGGTGCTAATAACGCCAAGGCCACAGGTTCGACCCCTGTAGTGAGCATTGATCCGCGAATAAGCTTCAAAATTCAACTTTTGTATTTTCTTCGGATGTGGTCACGTGATCTGAACTTTTGATGAAGCATGTCAAGGTCAACAATGGTAGGAAGATGCCCTTTTACAAAAGATTACAATGAGGATTTATCTAGGAGTGAATAGTAGAATGTTATAATTATGTATAAACGAAAGGGGTGAAGAAGATTGCGTTTGTGGATATGAGACGCGTGCCAAAAGATTGTCATGGTGAATGCTCTCTCGTTGTTGACGTTGCTATGGATCCAAGATTCACATTTATTATACATTATCCCAAAAGCAAGTATGAAGATTGTAACTATATTAATCATGCTACCGTAATCGCTTTCTAATTTCATAGAGTTCTCTCGTATGCAATGCCAATGTTTTGGTCAAATAGCCCACATCATGTTGCTGTAAACCACGTCGATGACGCCATGCCATATCATTGAGATAATAGTACTTTTCATAGCTGTTGTTTGCATTCATCTCTGGCGTGCCTTCTTGATGACGAACGAGTTGCCATACTTCATATGGTATATCTCTTACCATCCAGCTCGTCATTTCCAAGTACACCAACGCTTGGCATTGTTGTAAAATATGAATCATCCCTAGCCTCGAATGCGAAAATCCACTTGTAGTTGCGACTCTATTGCTGATAGCGGTGTGTTGCCTCCTTCTCGTTACTTCCAGGTGCGTAACATGTTCTCTTGTTGTCGCTGCACGAATGATCAAATGCTTAAGTTGTAATGCATGAGTAGCGATGACAGCCAATAACCTTGGAGACTCGCATGGTATAGAAAGATGTGTGAGTTGATGACCATAGGAAACAATAATGTCGCACATGACATCTTCTTGAACATGTTGTAAAGATACGCCTAGGCTGCGAATGTTGAGACAGTACTTTGCAAGGGCTACAAGCGCATTGTTGTTCGCTAATCGATTCCTATTATGGTTGGTGCCAAAATGGACCCGAGCGAGATTGGGCATGTTGCCGAGCAGCAAGGTGATAGCATCATCGGAAAAGTCTGTCCATACGAGATCCAAGGTATCAATGCTTGCAAGTGTGCCTTTGATCTTCCCATGAATATCATTGCTAGTAAGTTGAAGATGGCAAAAGCGGAATTGAAGAGTGCTGATATTGGGAAACAGTTGCAGGAGATCGCATAGTTGGTCAGCTGGAAGGACGTGGTAGTCGCTAAATGTGAGCGTGTGAATGTTCGGCAACCAATGCGCAAGGCTGGCTATCATAGCATGACTCCCGCTTTGTCGGCATACAAGGTGTAGGTGTCGTGTGTGATTCTCGAGCACATGGCGAAGGAACGAATGCTGGTCATTGACGATGTATTCAATGTGCGAACGAAAGCTGAGTTCAAGGCAGGCATATAGCACTGGAAGGCACTTTGCATAAACGTGGCGATTGGCAAGGCACAATTGAGCAATGCTTGAACGCGGAAGAAATGAAGCAATAGTGTGAAGTATTTCGACTGGGAGGTGGGAAAGAAGCATGGTTGTATTAAAAGTAGCACAGCAGGTTCCGTAATTATATATTTCATGAATAAAGGCACTTTGTGTTATCGGGTGAATCAACTTTTTTTTTCTTCTTGCACAATTAGGAAAAGTAAAGGGGAATAAAATAAAGGATAGGAAAAGGGTACTTGATGCTACATTCGCAACCAAAGATCGCGTAAGCGATTGGTGCTTGATGACTTTAACCGTGGCTCTACCAGGTTCGATCGCTTATATTGTTCCTAATGCAAGGAATGAGTAACTCAGCATAAATTCACGTGCCTCATCCATCCATGAACCCAACTTACATCTTCACTCAAGATTTCTGAGTCAGCAATGAAACGTAGAATTCTTCCATCAGGCTCAATATCGTATGCCGGGCATTGAAACTTCATCATGGCTACAATGCATTCACCCATTAAGCGGAACTTGTCCCAATGAATCGTGCCATCCGCTCGAAAGTCCTTGTTGCCCTCAGCGAGTGAGATCAAATCTTGGTTATGGATACCACTATAGCTTCAATCAGTAAAAGGATCAACGCCCATAATGACACAAGTACTTACAGATAAGGAACACCAGGTGGTTCTGAAGCTTTCAATGCGAGACGATAAGAGCTGAATGACCTATAGTAAAGAGGATGAGCTTCATGCTGCATCATGCTGACATGGGATGAGGCCATTATTAATTACCTATCCGAACTCATTAATCGCTCTAAGCTTTGGAATTGCTTGTATATCTTTTTATCCGTCATGGCTTCTCTTGTTTGCTTTAATCGAAGCACAGGTGCGCTGTTGAGACCAGCCAATACAGCCATAAGGGAATTATAGTTGTTGTGGTTTCTCAGCTCCTAAATTTTTCATAGTGTGAGTAACCAAAGGCAAGAGAGAGAGAGAAAAAAAAACAAGTTTTTCACGTACCACAGCAATCGACATGAACTTTTGTAACAATGCAGCTCGCTTATTCACCTTGGCTTGTGTGACAATCATAGTTGCAACCCACGCCGAAATAAAGTTGAAGTGGGCAATCGATGCAACCACAGCACTACCAGCTTTGATTTGATCTTCGGATGACACAGAGGATGGCCTTGATTGTTGTCCTGGGGCCCAAATATTACGAATGAATTCACGTGCCTACATTGGACCCATATACTTAATTAAAAGAAGGCTCTACATGTGGCGTACAAGACATACCTTGATTTTGCCAAACAATTCAGCTTCAATCCAAGTTAGCTGGTTTGCAATCACACTATCAGGGATATCCATCATCATCTTGTAAATCTGATTGTTGGCTTCCTTTTCGTTGCGAGGCTGTGCTGAATGATTATTATTGCCGAATGTACTCATGTAGCTTGTTGTTGATGATGCCACCGTATTTGCACCAAAAGATGTCCAACTAGGTGAAGTTGACATGCCACAATGTAAATCAATATTGATCAAGCCTCCAGCAAACTCAGCTCTGCTGGCACGCTTATCGCTGTTTTTTCCATCAGTGGTAGATCGAACATCAATGGATGGACGTCGACGTAAAGAATGGGTGGAGGAGGAGATGCTCAATGCTGGTGATTTAGGTCGTGAAGGTGGTAGAGCAGCAGCAGCAGCAGGTGTATTGACGACTTTTTTTACTGGTGTTGGTTCCGGAGTTGCTGGTGGTGGTGATTGTTGCACAGGCTTTTCCTTCTTTTCAGGTGGTGAAGGTTGTTGTTGTTGTTGTTGTGGTTCAGGTTTGGCAGCTGTCATGGGAGATAACCCAAATAGGAATCCAAAGGATGATGAGATGGATGATTTACGTGATCGACCAAAGAGACTAAACGAGCTCGAGCTAGATGTACGCTTTAAAGGTGGTGCTGCCTCATCCAATTTGCATCCCTCGGAAATTGACTTGCTATCTTGCGTATCCTTGGTTTCATTGTTGTTGCTATGACTACCACCACCAACACCGAAAAAGCCAAATACGCTGAACGAATCAGCCGAATAGCCGCTATCCTTTTTGTTTTTGCTTGTCACTGCTGGTGCTTCTTCTTCTTCTTCTTGATCAACATCATCAGCAGCTGTTGGGACCGGCTCACACTCTTCAAAGATATCATCATCCGAATCAGAGTCTGAGTCAGAGTCGTCGTCATCATCTTGATCATCCACCATACCCCAATGGGCATCAGGGTCCTCAACAGGTGGTAAGCGTCCTATCAAAGGGCGTAGCGAATCGCTGATGGGTCGTAACACTTGCTCTTTGGAAATGCGATTCAAAAACTTTGTAATGAGCTTGCGAGTACGACGGCTATGAAAATCATTCCAATAGCTGTTGAGCCATATAAGGAAGATGGCCTGGATACGCTCTTGTAGGCGTGTGGGTGGTGGCTCAATCAAACTATCGCTGTCGAATCGATCAATGAGAATGCGTGCAAGATCGGCAGGTTTCATAAAACGTCGAAAGAAAGTGATAAATATAGTGGCAATGTGCTCATCTACAATGGATTACCAACATGATGAATAATTAATGTACATCGTCTCGTTTATGCGTTTACCTGATCTGGGTGGATCTGCAGTCAAAAGTTTATCAATGATATCATCGACTGTCAACCCCGTAGTCATGGATTCGCTACATGAGGTGAAGAAAAGACATGATATGAGATCAACAACGCCCCTTTTATTCCACGCTATGTGAATGACGTACCAGCTGTCCTTTGATCCACGTCGACTACCATTGCAAGTATTATTTTGTAAGCCACTCTTGCGTTCAATTGGTACGACTGCAACGGAATGCACCGAACTTTTATCATCTAAAGGTGATTTTGTTGGGGTGATGGTGGTGGTATCCACGGTGGTTGAAGCTGTTGTAGCTGCTGCTTTATTGCTGGTTGGAGCAAAAACAAAGCCTGTTACTGTTTTTGCTGTATCGGCTGTTGGTGCTGCACCCGCTTTCTTCTTGGATGACAATGAAGGGAAACGATAATCGGAAGAGTAGCTTGTGTCGCTTGAAAAACTGGATCGGCGTACTGGTTCTTCATCATCCTCGGCTTTCTGCCGAGGTGTAGTGGGACAAACAATGTCACCCGAAATACGTCGTTCACGCATAGCAATACTACTTTCATTGTCTCCTGCATTACTACTGCAAATGCTTGTTGTGGCGGATGAGGATGAAGGTAAAGTAGATGCTGGTTGTGTATGCAATGATCGGAACTCGTCGCCATGTTCTTGTAAGCAGCGTTTGACAAGCATAGTGTAAATGTCTTTCATCTTTTTGGTGCCTTCCTCTGAGAATGCATCCACTTCGAAAAGTTCAACGCCAAATAGGTTTCCCAATTTTCTTCCAAGATCAGGGTCGACTTGACGTAAGCTTGATAAATCTGCTTTTAAGCCTACCAAGTAGGATGGGATGTTGCGTGACACGTACGCGTCTTTTGTGACAAGAAGAGGAAAAAGAAAGGGTACAGCAATGAATGAGTCAAAATGGTTGTCTTTGTTATGTAAATATTTGCCTTACTGAGTAAATCCGGTAAGCAATCCATTGAATCCCGGTTGGTGGTGTCATAGCAGATAAGGCCACCATGGACGTTTGAAATGTCCTTTGTTCATAAAGACAATGAGTCACTTAGGAGGACAACAAAGACAATGAGCATGATCTCCTGATTTGCTCTCTTACCTCTGGGAACTCTGGAGGATCTTGATCGGTGTTGATCATTGTATCATCAATCTCAATGACATCCATAGGATAATGAACTTGATCAATAACCATCGTGGTGCGGTGACACTGCCATTCTGTGACACACACATGGATAAAGCGTCAGCTTGCATGATATAATCACCCACCCCCAAAAAGGCATCTCCCATTCAATATTTCATCACCCCGATGTTGGGGGGTTTTTGACTAGATGGGAGACTCCCGAAGCACTTTTTAGCATGGCACACTTACGTGTTACGTTTTTTGGATCATAATTCGCTGTCAAGTTTTGAAGTCCCAAGCGGATCAACGTCGACTTGCCAATGTTTAAAGTGCCTGAAATGACAACGACAAGTGTCTTGTCACAGACCTACCCCTTGGCAATTCAATATACGATATGATTTGGTGCTCTTTTTCTTTCATGACGAATTACCTTCTGAGGAGGTAAGCTGGGTATAAGAGGAGGAAGAGGTTTTGTCTTTGGATCATTGGAGGACCCTGTGCTAGTACCGGTTGCTACGGTGCGTACGGTGTTGGTAGATTTGATAGATCCAGTTTTAGCAGATCTTCCGGACTTTGTTGATTTTGTGTCAGGTGCCACTGCTACTGTTGTTGGAGCTGTAGTTGTTTTGATAGAAGGTGCTGCTGGTGCCACTGGTTGAGATTGTTGTTGTTGTTTTTGTTGTTGTTGCTGTTGCTGCTGCTTATGTTTATCTTTTGTTGGTAGAAACGAATGTTTTTTGGACGTGGTTGACTTTTGTTTCGAGTCTGGCGTAGAAGATGGCTGTTCTTGCTTCTTGGGCTTTCGCTCAAACGTTGCAAGTGCAACGAGTTTTCGGGTGAGCCACATGGCCGAGAAAGGAAAGTCGCAAGGTTGATCAACGAGAGGAAAGAGAGAAAAATAAAAGAGAAAGAGAAGGGATAGAACAGGTGTTGAGTTGCTCGGTCACCTTCAATTAGGGGAATACAAGGGGCAAACAAAAAGAGAAAAGAGCCCACATGAGATTTGTGCTGTTGATCAAATTGACAACTAAGTATCATCTGCTGCTGCTTTACCCCTTTACATCTCTCTTTTGGGTAAGAGTTCATCATTCCATATTTTTCTCTCCTCTTGTCTCCCATTGCTAAACGACACAAAAGAAGGTAAAATCATACAAAAATATTTATAGACGGGTAATTTCACAAGAACTAAACTATATACTCTACTTTTCAATCGTGTGTTGATGATAATAATGGCGATGGTGTATGTCTACATCACCTCGGGAAACGGGTGCATTCCGCTTTGGTGTGTTACAAGAATCGTCCCAAGTCAGTGGAGCTCAAATTAAGGTCAGGCGATTGTCCATTAAGGGCACGCAAAAGCTCCACCAATTGTCCCCGGGTAGCATCACTGAGTTGGTCCTCGTTTGAAAGCACAGTTGAAAAGATGGGCAAGAATTGAGGAATGTGTCCCATAACCTATGCATGATCCCATTCAATACTTAGTATCCTTCCTTTTGCATGACATCAAATCACAAGGGTACTTACAAATCCATTGTTGACGCGGAAGAGATGGAAAAGACAATTAAATACGGGCTCATTTTCAGCATAATCAGCCTTGAGAGGTAACGAATTCAAAAAGACTGGTAGCACTTGATCCAAAGGAACAGCTTCAGGGCGAGCAATAATCAAACGAGCAACAGCGCCTGCTGCATTATCAGTGGTGTTGGGCATGCTTTGATTCTCGAACAATGGGTGGAGTGCGGTCAAGATGGTGGAATATTGCCTATAACAAATATGAGATAAATGATCACTCAGCTGATGATGTATCATAGCCAACTTACTGTGAAATGTCGGCTGTGGTATTGGCTGCAAGCACACCCAAGGCAAATGCTGCATTGCTTCGCACAGCTTCATCCTCATCCGAAGCAGCCTTGACAAAGAGGTTGAGCAACTTTTCAGTGTAAGGTGTCACTGCAGACTTGATGCCACCGATACATTCACCAAGGCAACCGGTTGCCATGAGACGCTCACTTGCTGACTTTGTAGATTTCTATAATAATGCAGGTGATGGTGAGACCCCTATTTTGATCGTTTCACAAAGGCACACACTTACGTAGTTCTTGGCGATCAAGGGAAGGAACACATCAAAGTATTGAACATAGTTTTCACCGATAGCTTCACAAAGGGCGGCAACAAGATCAGCAGCGGCAGCGATAAGCATAGATTCGGATTCAGCTTCTTCATCCTCATCCACAAGATCCTCCACGTCATAAGTCTCCTGGCAAGCTGAACGCTTTTCAAAGATCTCCAAAATACGATCGGAAACCTCTTGCAGATCTACGAAAATGGAAATTTGTTAATCATCTAGAAGGATCTCATCATTTTCAAAAGATTATACTCACGATCAGCAACAACGCAGGGACCCATCAACTTGAGAGCTTGTGTCATTTCCTTGCAAATTTGCACAGCCACCATTCTATCATCCTCGTCGGACCACATGGCCATCACAGTGGGCATGACGATACCAAGCATCTTTTGTACATTCTCGTGGATAGCATAGCTGACAGGCAAACCAGGGGTCCAGTCTGCAGCACCTGAAAGAGCATGGAAGGCCTTGAGGTAGGTGAACAAACTACCAAGAGCGGCCTTACGAACACCATCGAACAAGTGACCCGTTGCTTCCATAAGGGCTTCGACTGATTCCTCAACATAGGGCAAAAAGTGTGTACGGGTGTTTTCAAAAAGCTCACCAAGAGCATCGGCAGCAAATTCCTTTTCATCGGCAATAGCGGAATTGAAGTTGAGAGCGCTAAAGTCATCCTCATCCTCTTCATCTTCGCCACCAGCTGTCAAATCAATTTCAGTCTCCAAGTTGGGTTCGTTACCCTCTTCAGCCTTGCAAGATGCGAGAATGGCAGGCATGATAGTAGGAAGGAAAGGTGCAAATTCTTCATGGAAAACGCTGGCAATCACCGAGAAGAAAGCGTAAGAGCATTCACGAAGGCGAGGGCTGTCAAGGTTAAGTTGTTCAATAGCAAGGTTCATAAAGTCTTGAGTGTGAGGGCGGAAGACATCGGCACCAACAGCTTCAGCAACAGCACCAGCCGTGTCCGAAGCGACACCACGCAATAAACCATCATCATTACCAGAAGTGGCGGACATGAGTTGACGAATACGAGGCATGACTTCATTAAAGTAGGGTTGGAAGGATTCGTTTGCCGAGTGAGCAGCACTGCCAATAGCACCAAGAGCAGTGGCCTTGGTTTCGGTGTGGTTGGCATTGTCAAGAAGCCACACAAGACGTTCCATAAGCATAGGAAGATATTGAAGAATTTCACCTTCAAGGCCATCAAGCATAGGATCAAGAGCATTGCATGCGTGCTTGGTGATTTCAGGGTTGGGCTCGTTCAAGAGGTTGAACACCAATGGCATGAGTGTTTGATGGTGCTCAGACATTTCGGAAGGAAGCTCTTCGGCAAGGCAGCTAAGAGCCATACATGCTGCACGACGAACAATCACCTCGGGATCTTGAAGACCTGCACATACCACAGGAAGAAGCTCACCCAATCGGGTAGAAATAAACTCGGCACAGCCTTCAATAATCACTGCAACGCTCATCATGGCAGCCTTGCGATGACCAGCAGAGGGATTTTGCATATAGTTGAGAACGATGGGCATCATGATTGGCACAATTTGTTGAGGAGGCATGTTGGATGCAAGGGCATTGAGCACCTTGAAAGCAGCCTATGAAAAATGGATACATCAATAAGTGGGATGTATATCTTCTTTTCACTTTTTACTTACTCTGGAAGGTGATTCATCATCCACATCCTCGGGATCCTCTTCGGTACCAATAGGCATGACACTTTCGATAATAGGGCCAACCAACTTGAGAGATTTGATCTTGCTTTGCTTACTACAAGTAGAAATTTATCATTGTCAATACACGTTGTATCAATACTTTGATTAAGGTACTTACTAGATGGATCCCCACATCAAAGAAGACAAAGCCAATTCACGAAGGCTGTCATCCAAGTCACGAGTACCAGCAACGGTAAGCATGAATCTGACAAGGTCGGTCATGTGATCAGAAAGGAAAGGTGTATCCTGTGTCACGAATTGGTGAGTGACCCTATTTTACTAAACTCCCACACAATGACCCAAACTCACCAACATGAACAAGTTGTCAAACACTTCAAAGATCTCGGCGGCATTCTTCTCATCGCTGTTCTTCAAGACTTGTTCGAGGACATTCACCATAGCGGGAATCAATTGCTTGAACGCATTCTATAATAGCTCAAGATGAATAAGCAATCCTATAGTATCCATGGCAGAATGACTTACAATATCTTGCTTATCCTCGGGATCAATGAATTCGGCCATCTTGCCAAGGGCACTAGAGATTATCTTTAATGAGACCATTCCATCATCCCAAACATTGAAAGATACTTACAGCACAGTGGTGACACGGACTTCTTGGCTCTCGGGATCAACAATGGTCTTTGCGAAGAGTTCAAAGAGGGAAGCAGCTTGGTTCATGAAGAATTCGGCAACGACCTCGAAAAGGGTATAAATACAATACATGCCAACTTCACGGTGGCTCACGGTAGCACTGCTAGTAGCTTGATGCAAGAAAGACAAGAGCTCGGGCCAACGATTCTCGGGGATATCAATACGAGCAATGGATGAAATGGCACGTGAGATAGCATGGCGAGTCAATTGACTATACACAACAAAATGGATTAGTATTCCTCCATTCCCTATAACAACACCTTTGGGATCCATGGATACTTACTGTTGCTCGGAAAGGACCACTTGCAAGAGTTGGCTACGAAGAGGAGCGCGTGTAGACTCATCGACCTTCAACCACCACTTTGAAACGCGTTTACGGAGCTCGACTGCAGCAAGTTGTCGCACCTCGTCTCTCGGGGAGCTGCTAATGATTTGGACAAGAGCAGGAACACATTGGGGTGAAGCGTACACTTGAGTGTTCAATGCAGAAGTGACCTAATGCAAAGCGATGAGAAACTTGGGAGGGAAAAAGGGCATTGACTTGTTGCCAAGCAGCACTCACGTTGCGAACAGTGTCAGAATCTTGTGCAGTAGCGAGTCTCGCCAAGAGATCTTCAACAGTGTTCTAATAAAACATGGGTTAAATTTCTTGAGAGAGCAAAGAGCATTGAGACTTACGACGTCCATTGCAGCCAAACAGGCGGTGTTGTAGGGAAAAAGATGGGAATAAGCTTCCTTCCACTATCGCAAAAATACAAATTTTTCATTCACCTCCTCGTGTCACACGCCTCGAGGCATGTCAGGTACACAGCATTACACCTGTCACCTACCTGGATTAAACCCTTCTTTCAGCCACCATTATCATCATTCATACAATACAATAAATACCCTTTACCAATGACGAGGGATGCTTAGTGACGAGCTTGGATGGATGGATGGGTCATGGCCGTTGTCATCATCATCATCATCACCTTGGTAGCCTAATACAATAATGATGAGTAACCTTGGCAATATGCATAGGACAGAAGGATCGATCACATGTAATAATAGAAACCTTTAATCTAAAAAGCTTTCATGCATATGTAGTAATGTTTATATATTAGTTCTTATTCTATGCTATTATGCGTATCTACTTTACAGGGTAAACAATAATCGGCAAGAGGTTCAAGACGGAATTTGATCTCGCGTAACCTGGTACTGGTCGGAGTCCAAGCTTTAAACAGTTGGTGCAATCTCTCTAGCTCAGATAAGGCATGCTGAACCACCCTTGTGTCATCAAAGATCCCTCGAACAGCCCACGGAAGATAAAAAGGATTGAGTCGAGCACTTGCTTTGAATGGCTCCATGTGTGGCTCATGCTGTGATCCATGATCAATAGGTTGTTGAAATAGATAGCGCACAGCTGTCAAATAAACATCCACCTCTTCGTATATCGTTGAATGTCCTCCTTCAAACGCATAAATGCTACCTGCTAGCACCTCACTTAGATGAACCAAAAGACCATGATCCGATAATCCTGCATTGCGTAATCGTAAAGCGAACACCACCAGGTTGATCAAAAAGTCGTTGTCAGCATAAACATGCTTGTCAATGTACACGGCACGCAAGATGTTGGGATGTGATATGCTTGTCAACGTAGCTGAATAAAGAGGCACCACTTGATCCTGCAATGAAGCCACCAAAACGAGCTTGATACCCTTTTCAAGTATGGCGGCAAGCGTCTTTCGAAACCGTTGTGAGATGCCGCTGTTGGAATCCATGAACTCGAACAGCTCACGTGCAGCATCCGCTTCCACATACTAAAAAAACCCCCACCCATGTTGTCGCCATTTAGATACCATCACCAATGATTACTCCTTCATACTTATATAGATTCAACCTACCTTGACAATCAAACTTCCTTGTAATGCTGCAAATGGGCCGTGACCAATCCCTGCCATAGCAAGCATACAAATGGATGTGCTCTGGGTACTTATATGACCTCGTTCCAGTAGTTGGTGTAACAGGATAACCGATACAGGTGTGCCTTGTGAATGCGTGCCCCATAAAATGACATCAGCAGAGGCTATTGCTTCCAGCCATGCCGTATTCTGCAGTAGTTGCTGGTATAGCTTGTCAACTCTTTCTTCTACTTTGCCTTCGCCCTCAAGCGGTATAAGAGTGATTGCGTCCTCTGGTAATGCAAGCTGATGCTCTGTGAGGAAATAGTGTCCAAGGGCAATCCGCATTTGTTGACAGAATTTTTGTGATGTACCGGTTGGTTCTCCAATCATGCTTCGTACCAGCTATGCATATGTAATTCATGTTATCAACAAGCGATGGTATCTTTGTTGTATATCGCTATTTACCTTTGTAGGAAACCAACCATGGATACCAACAATGACGATTTTGTGTCTATAGGTGCCCCTCTCTTGATGACCTGGTTTCAAATCCTCGACAAGCGATGTCAGCCTTGAATGCAAATGCTGGATCCATGCTGGATAATCAGATGATTGTTGTTGTTGTTCCTCTTCCTTTTTCGTAGTAAACAAGTTGCTGATTGATTGAAAGAGAGATGCAGGTGATTTCTTGGTGTCGTTTCTTTGAAGATGTTGTAATGTGGATGTGGATGGTAAACGAGGCAATACAGGATTGTGCTGCTGCTTATTGGTGGATGATGATTGACCAGATGACATAATAGATGATGGTATGTCGTGTTGTTGTTGTACAATGCCACTGGCTAATGAATGTGCCGATTGCTGAGTCGGATCACTGGATTGGATCATGCTACTTGAACTAGTTGTGTCATTGGTTGCAAAGGAAACGGATGCTTGATGCTGTTGCTGGAATTCACAAAGACTTGCTGCTGCGAGAGATGGCACATCCTCTTTGATACCCATGATCACGTCTCCATTCACAAATACTCGGGTGGACTCGCTCTCAGCCATTGCCTTTGTCGAATAGTTCCAAAAAGGATCAGTAAACGTCGATGTCGTCTTGTTGATATTGCCATGGGCTGCTGATAGCTGCATCCAAGGTATAGTGACAGCCATTTTATGATCTTTTATCGACCAACGTTGTCTCGGTATATGGCGTGCAAGTTCAATAGTCGCATTCGGCTTACATTCCAATCCACGGTTGACTTCATTGACAGCATCGACATGAACGGCAGTGATCTTGATGGTGGCCGGTGTAGACTTGGAAGGCAACATGCTGATGTCATACAATTGTACAAAGAACCATGCTGAAGATAAACGGAGAAAAAGGGTTGCTGTGCAAGAGATTCGTTGGAGAGAGAAAAGAGTATTTGCAACAAGGATGACAGTAACGACGACCCCACTTTATGCACGCGATCAGATGATTCACATGCGCAGCCCTCTTCGGCATAACGTCGAATCCACGTGACTTGGGTCATCGATTGATACCTTTTAGTGCGAGAAGTGTCATTGTAGTCATTGTATATCCAAAGCTCAATACTTTTATTATAAAGAATGCTTATGCAACGCGTATTTCTTTGTCTATCATTGTTACATCTTTTGATTCTATTTGATTGTGGATATCTTTGTCATGAAAGGCCCATCGTTTGACCCTGATTTTATGACCCTTGGGCGAACAACACGTTAAGCGTAATTACGAGGTGATGCTAATCAACTAGTTTATGCAGCCACGCCACTTTCGAGTCCGCCTATTCCCGATGGTGATACATACAAAGCCCAAATACATGGCAGGTCCGTGTGATGTGGCATTTATGACTGATCAACGATTACCCGATGGATAAACGCCCATGTTGGAAAAAGGAATAAGCTCAATACAGCAAGGAGGTCAGACCACAAAAGCCTCCTTTCCCCACTTTTCACCAGAGAGGGAAAAAAGCAATGAGCCTGCATCTATTGCAGTATTATTTAAGGGGTCTTCTCTCCACACCAACGCCACCTTCACACCATCCTCTCTCTCTCTCTCTCTCTTTCTATCCTCTTCCCATCGAAATGCTACTTGGTGCTGCGAGTCGTCGTCTTCTTCATCGTCATCAACATTATCTCCGCACTTCAAGTGTATTTGCAAGACACCTTTCTTCTTTGTACCACGAGCCTCTTAGAGAAAAAACTGTCAAAGTCACTCATTCAAGAGGTGTGGGTGTACTTCACGATCCATTACTTTCAAAAGGTAAGGCCTGCTCATATGAGAATTTTCGATCCAATGATACTGATGGAGAAGGGGACGTCTTTGTTTAAAAAAGGTACGGCGTTTAGTATTGATGAGCGTGAACGTCTATCGATTCGTGGACTAGTACCTCCACGCTGCCAAGAAATGGACAAGCAGCTGCTACGAGTCAAGCGTAATCTAGACCATTGTGATACACCATTGGCAAAGTTTATTTTCTTGACAGCATTGCATGATCGAAACGAGACTTTGTTTTACAAATTGATCATCCAATATCTCGAGGAGCTCGCTGGTATCATTTATACGCCTACTGGTAAGAAAAAAAGAGGATAAGGAATAGGGATGAGGAACATGAGTGTTTATTTTATGTCATGTAATAGTGGGGCTTGCCAGCTTGAAATCCCACAGCATTTATCGTCGTTCCAGAGGCATGTACTTTTCAACCCAAGATCGAGGCAACATGTCAGCTATGGTTTACAATTGGCCCCATGATGAAGTGGATGTGATTGTGGTGACGGATGGCTCTCGTGTTCTTGGCCTTGGAGATTTGGGGGCGAATGGCATGCAGGTAAAGTGTAAACAATGCAACATCAGGGGGTCGGCTGATCATTGTGCTTACCTCAGTGTATATGGTGTAGATCCCAATTGGCAAACTCAGTCTGGTAAGTGGGCGTAAACAGCAATTAACACCCAAATGGTTCGACGACGAGTGATAACACAAATTTTTCTAGTACGTAGCTGCAGGTGGTATTAGGCCACGAGCGGTCTTGCCTGTTGTCCTTGACGTTGGCACCAACAATGAGGCACTCTTGAATGATCCATTGTACCTGGGTATGGGTCATCCTCGTTTGGATGGTGATGAGTATTATTCCTTTGTGGATGAATGGGTCACAGCTATTCTTACACGATGGCCAAGTATGTATTTTTTATTCATAGCTTACACGTGTTGCTTATACTTTATGTCTGTATTATAGATGCTTTGATACAATTTGAAGATTTCAAGCATCCGCATGCATACAATTTGCTGAACAAATGTAAGCTCTCCACCATCTTGTGCACCAAGCTGCATACTCACCTACATTTTATTTGTCATTTGCAGATCGTGACCGTATCACTTGCTTCAACGATGACATCCAATCAACGTCAGCTATTACTTTGGCAGGCCTTTTGGCTTCAATGAAGGCTCGTGGTTTGGATCCATCAGCGTTAGCCAATGAGCGCATCGTTTGTGTAGGTGCTGGCAGTGCAGGAATAGGTGAACATCCTTTATCTTTATTCTTTATCATCTATGTTCTAATGCTGGTATCCATTTTGTAGGCGTATGTGAAGGCATCGTTGATTGCATCGTTGCTCAAGGCAAGGTGAAAACACGTGAGGAAGCATATAGACAAGTTTGGATGTTGGATCAACATGGGTTGTTGGGCAACTCGGCAATTGCAGCAGGTGATCCTACACGTGTTGTGCAAGGTCCAGAACGAGCCAAATACTCTTTGGATGAGCGACAATTGCGATACGTCAAGCGTGATATGGCTGATAGACTTTCACTTGAACAGGTGGTTGAGCAAGTGAAACCTACAATCTTACTTGGGCTTACTGGAATTCCTGGTGTTTTCACTGAAAAAGCTGTACGCACAATGGCTCAATATCAAGAGAAGCCCGTAATTTTCCCTCTCAGCAACCCTGATAGCCATGCTGAATGCACTGCTGAGCAGGCTTTCAAATGGACGGATGGCCGTGCTATCTTTGCTTCTGGCAGCCCATTCAACGATGTAACCCTACCCAATGGAAATATTGGAAGAACAAATCAATGCAATAACTCATACAGCTTCCCAGTAAGTACAAAGTTTGTCGTTCATAATGATAGAAAATGCTTATATCAAGCATCTGTGTAGGGATTGGGATTGGGCGTGGTTACTTCACGAGCTTCAAGCGTGACTTCAGAAATGTTCTTGGAGACTGCAAGAGTCATTGCAGACATGGCAACGCCTTCTCAACTCAAGGAAGGTATCCTATACCCTGGTGTCACTCATTTACGTGAAGTATCTAGAAAGGTTGCTACACGTGTATGCGAGGTTGCCTTTGAACAAGGTGTTGCACAAGCTCGCCTAAGAGAAGGTGAACTGTTGGAGGATATTGTGGCCAACTCAATGTACGATCCTCAATATGTGCCATTGGTTCATCAAGCGTGAGCGATATTATTATTAGAGACATCCATATTATATAGACAATAACATGTCATAAGTACAGACCAATGATTGCTACGAACAAGTTTATTGAATCAATACTTAAAAATCAATCAGCGGCACGGCCGCTGGGCTAAGTTCCATTCTACTCTTGAATGCAACAGGATCGGTGATGATAGTATTACCCTCGGGTAGCGATGAATGATCCCTGACAGGAGTTTGTTGACCGCTATCAGTTGATGAATCGCCATCGACTGCTGACAATCGACGGGCCGTCTTTTTATTATCTACCGTAACAAAAGTGCCGTTGATAGTACCATTGCCTTGTGCAGCTGCTTCTGTCATTCCCATGGCTGTGACCAATTTCGACATGAGCTCTTCAATTTCCTCCTCGTTGCCCTTGCTTTCATCAATCAACATCTCGCGCAATACAGCTTCCATGGATGCTTCTCCAGCTTCGCCCTTTTCCACTGCTGTACGCAAATCATCAATGCTCACCCGATTCACGCCTTGTGCAACCAAACATGTGTGTAAGGATTCAATGTCGACCTTGTACTTGGGTGCGGGTGGTGTCTTTTGCGATTGAATATGCACAGCAATCTTACGCACATTATCCGATGCTGGGTCAATGTGAAGGTCAAAGAATTCAAGCAAAGACTCCTTGGAAATCATTTTGAGCTCCTTGACATCCTTGTCCACTAATACAACATTATAAGCGTCATCCATTTCCTTGTTTGAAAAGGGTTTCCCTTACCTTGATCAAACTCATAGTATCCCGAATGGATATGTGTCCAATACTTGCCACCTTCTTGTCCCAAATTCTTGTCCTTTTCAAGCTTCTTGAAAATGAGCGATTGTACCTGTGCCTGGTATTCTTCATCCGACATGTTGACAATGATGCTTCTCAACTTGATCAAGAATTCTTCGATGCGGTTCTCCAAGTAAATCGTATCTCGCTCACTTTGCACAATGAAGCGCATTCCCATGGATCCTGCTTGCTTGCGTACACCACTGAAAACCAAATAGCCTAGTGTATGTTTCAATAAACGTTCCTTTCGAGAATAGCATTTACTTACCTAGTTGTTCCTTGGTACGCAGCTGATCAAAGCAAGGTTCTTGAGCAATTTGCGCCAACAAGCTTAAGCGAGCCCGCAACGATGTTTGTGTCACATTGCCAACTTGGATCAAATACTCGATACCAGAATTCACATTGTGTGGATCTTCGACTTGTCGATTATACACCCATTTAGAACCAGGTGGCAGGATCAAGCTGCGGTGTCCAATAAGTTGACTTGGGAGCAATTCGCGTGGATTCAAGATATTGATCACCGTGTTCATCATATCCTCGGCATCCTTTTGAAGGACATTGCCATGTACCAAAGCTTCAAGATGCAAGTGCGAAAGGATGGTTGGGTAGAAGGCTTGAATATCCTCAGCTGTGATGGCGTCAAGTTCTCTCAGCTTCTCAGCATTCGTCCACATCTTGTCTTGTGTAAAGTACGAGAGATAGTATAAAGCGTGCTGATAAGGTGGCTCAAGCGCAAAATTCTTGTATGATCTTCGCAACTAGAATAACCCAATTAGAGGAAAGGTGGAATCTTGTCTCTGCAAATAACTTACTTGGTCTTTCAAAAGCTTGAATCGCTCGGGATCCACTTGAAGGTCCTTCATCTTTTGAACCACCTTTTCCAACAATACTGAAAGCTTATCATTGTAACCACCGACTGCAAGCTATTTTCACGCATGTAAGCTATTAATACAGGTCCCTCATCTCAATGTCATCCTCCCTTACCAGCATTCCTTCTAAAAGGTTCTCAATGTTATAAGCAAGGCCAGCCACTTCAGCATCATATGCATATTCATTCAGCGAATCCTTGAGCAAATCCGTGAAAAGGCTATATCAAAATCTTAGTTGCAGCCTCAAACATGCATCCAATTGACAACTTACCGTGTCTTCACACAATTGGTAGGTGTAGCGTATGCAAGAGGGCTTCGGAAAAGGATCCATACATTGGCTCTTGGGACCCAAAAAGTGTCATCCTTCTTGTACCATAACCTTGTCTTGGGGTTGTTCAAGATAAGCTCAGGCTTCTTGGCAGGTTGAAGAATCTCTTTCTTGTGCGTCTCAAAGTTGGTGGGGATGAAATCATTCTTGCCTGGCAAGTACAATGCATCATTGGGTTGAAGATTTTGTAGCGTCTATACAATAGGATCATGAATAAACAAATTGCAATGATAGCTCACTTGACTCTACCTTCTTCAATTGGTCGCTGAATTCAAGAACATTATATTCGGTGTCGTACCATTTTTCGCGCATGGTGAATTGTGCTCCATTAGGTGGTTGTTGTGATGCGACCATAATTCGGAAATTGTCAGGGCGAAGATATTCAAGGTTGTCATTGATGATATCCACATTGTATTCACGAATCAGGCTTGGACCACTTAGGATGAATGGAGCTGGGTAACCATGTTGCATAAGACCCGCCAATCGAGAGGTGTATTGGGATGGTGGATACTTTTCCTTGAATCGGAAGGCCAATGAAGCAAGAGATTGCACCTCGTTGAAGATCGATCGTTGTACACCCGATTGCCGGAGCATGTTGATATACTGGAACACGCATACGACAACATCCTCATAAGAGCCTACACCCTGAAATTAATATACAATCCTGTTGATCCTACAATGGATACTTACGTAAACCTTCTTCAGTCAAATCAATGCTGATTCTCAAGAATTCAAAGCCAATGCCACCATGAATAGAGCCAACTTGCAAGTAATTAGCCCAGCCATTCTTCTTGAGCAAAGAAAGGATAGATCCAGCGCCTTCATGTCCAATGAGATGAGAGATGTATCGACCAGGCTAATGTATATCAAGAGTGAGGATAATTGGAATGGGTATCTTAATAAACATGTACCTGAATTGCGTAAAGAGGTCTCTGATCCGGGAAAGGGAATGTCATTTCTAAGGATCTCACGTCTTTGACGGGCTTGATAAAGATTTGTTTCTACATGGCATATCTCAATTAGCCATTCTGAATCCATCCATCAAGGTATCATTGCTTACCATGAGCTCCTTTTCAGTGAGAGGGTGACCTGGGAACTTTGGTGGTTCAATGCCCTTGTTCCTCACATCATTGAACTTGTCGACAGCCCATTCAGTCAGTTGATCAAGTGATTCTAAATATGCATTAGCATTACTTTTTTTAGAATGGCGATTGAAAGTCTCTTACCTCTACCGAGGATGCAAAGTTTCATGATGTTGGCGGAATAATAGTTGTCATGGAACTTGAGTAATTCAGCGCGAATGTCTTGGCCTTTGGCTTTTGGGCTGTCATACAAGGTCTCCAAGTTGCCGGTGCCGAAATGACAATAAGGGTGATTTGGGTTGCTCAACGACTTCTCCAACTGAAACATGCGCCAGCTATCTTGTTGTCGGTTCTTTTTGTGTTCTAGCAGGCGGGGACACCGTTTCTGGTATATTAGCGTTACCCATTCATGCAGCCGAATGTTTGTTATTGGTTGTTGTTGACTCACCTGAATCGACGGCTCTCAATTCACGTTCAGTGCAGCTGGCTGAGAACAAGGGTGAAATGAAAAACTGAGCAAAGCGATCCAATGCACCGCCGAGGTATTCGTGGCCGATCTCAAAGTAATAATTGGTGTTTTCTACACCCGTGAAAGCATTGGAGAAGCCCGAGTGTTCGGCCAAATACTGATTGTAGTCGTTTTCCTTTGGATACTTTTCAGTGCCCATAAACAGCAAGTGCTCACAAAAGTGTGCCAGGCCTTGTAAATCATCCTGCAAAGAGAGAGAGCCATGAGTTCTTGGTGTACTACACACATGTTACCCCTTTGTCCTTGTGCTCCAGCTTCTATTACATCGTGCCTTCTATAAGGTTCATTCCTCCCCCTCCCCTCCCCCACCCACCCATCCATCCAAGAACACAAAACTTACTGGATCACTAAGGTGGCCCACTTGAACATCAAGTGCTGCACTGGTTGTCCGTATCCGCATCATGAATCAGTAGCACTTGCAAATCATTGCTGGCAAGCTTG